TAAATGTTTACGATCGTTATTAATTACAATTATTTGTCATTGTAACCCTGCAAAACCTTTGCAATTTTTCGAAGATTTCAAAAACAATATGACTGAAGATTTTATTCAACAAGGAAATAGTGAAGAAAAATCTCTAAAATTATGCATTAATGACATAAAAAATGGAAATTCACCAAAATGGTTTCGATTTTAATCAATTCTTACCATTTCCTAATTTCGAAGATATTTCAGATCGCGAAAATAATTTAGTTAACTGTATTGTTGATGACAATAATTTATTATGGAATGATCTTAATAGTGATCAACTTTTAGCTGCCGATACTATTTTAAAATCATTAGCTGATTTGAACTCGCAGAAATGTTTTTATTTAGATGGTCCCGATGGAAGCGGGAAAAGCTTTTTGTATCGTGCACTAATTCAAAAAGTTAATCTCATCGGTAAAAAGCGTTAATCGTAGCACGGACAGGCATGGCTGCTACTTTGTTGCCAGGTGGAGTTACATGCCATTCAGCCTTTAGTTTACCCCAGGTGAATGAATCCGATAGGATTCCCGGGCACGAACCTATTATCGGTTCCAACGGAAGAAATCGTTTTCTTATTCACGATCAAATAAGCATTTTGAGCCATCAGAGCGCAAGAGTGATTCGCTAGAGTTGGATTCCGTTAAAATCCGACATCGGATCCGATTGAATCCAATACCAAGGATCCGACTGTAGGTCCGTGTCCAGGAATCCCATAAGATTTCTTCGGTTTTATTGAAACACATGTAGTATTTCGGTATATTCACTGTCTGACCCTTGTCGGAATGATTCTCCTGGGTACAAACAAGAATGAATAAAGACATAGAAATATCAAGAGATATGGTATAAATTGAAATTCTTGATATTAAAAACTGAAGTTTATTTGTTTTAGATTAATCAGTACAAAGTATGGAAAAGAAAATTCGAAGAAAAAATAGCTCGAATAAATGATGATAATAAGCAGATGAAGGATATGTATCAAGGACATATTAAAGCTTACTCCCCAGATCGAGGTTTACGGAGTCCATATACGGTCGTAAACGACCGTGCTTGTTCAACCTGGGTCGTAATTAATAAAAATTGAAGAAACAATTCTAGGTAATTGCATGAATAGCATTCATTATTTTTTTTATTTCAATGTAGAAAAACTCATCAACAATCACGAAAGTATCGAATAATATGTTTTTGATGTGTAAATAATGTATATTGTCGTGTACATGTGTAACTGTAGGCACTACCCGTGTATAACCAGGTTACTCACTAAACTCGCTTGTATATGACCTTTTTTTAATTGTAAATAGTTTTTTGAGGTAAGACAAGATTTTGTCAACAGCATTTTTATAGGATTACTAGAAATATATAGGATTAGTTTTTTTTAGTAAAAGCCTTAAATAGCAGATTTAATTATGTTGGGATATTCAAGATAAGGAAATTTTATGCAAAAAAAGAAAATATTTTCTATGCTTCATTCATTAATTAACAAAAATACTAATTTTTATCGTTATAAAAATAATATAAAATAGAAATATAAGAAAAAGTATTCAATAGCGCAATGCAGAACTTTATATAAACAATACGTATAAGTGTTTATTCTCTTTAAATAGATTAAAACAATTGCCTAAACAATATGTAGAAATACATAAATTACAAATAAGAAAATTGTTTTACTTAAGATTAGTATTTGAATCAGTATAGTTTTTGTTTCTTCATTATTTGAGAGGAGTCCAAGAAAAATGAATTTTATATCATTTTACTTTTAGATCCTCAAGTGATCCTTTTAGTCCTTTTAGTGCATCTTGAACACGTGACAAGCCGTAGACATTTCCATGATTTATAATCCTCCATCAGGGTTGCCAAATCTCCAGATACGAGGAGCTGATTTCTGAAGTCTTCTCCTGGTTTCTTGATTTTTTTCTCACATTAGATTTTAGCGACATTATGAATCGAAAACACAGTCAATACAATTGTATACAGTTTTATAATTATCTTTTAAATAATCAGGATCTATTGAAACAAATTCGATCGTCAAATAAATATACTCATATTGCAAAAGTTCCACGTACGGCATAACTGATAATTTATTGTTCGAATATGACACTTTTGTTTTGCTTTGATGCATATCGACTTATAAGAAGCTCTAATTTATTTATTGTTGTATATTTTATGAAAAGTTTTGAAATAAATAGCAATATAAAACGTATTTAACGATCTTTACTTTTTCTTACTATAACATTTAATTAAACATTCGACTATTCCGAACTTAGCAGCAAAAAATATTAAACAATCCTTATGTGCATGCAAAACTTCAGTTCTCTACGAAATAAAACAGCTAAATAGTTTACTAATTTTTCGGAAAGAAATCTCCTGGTTAACTTCTGTTTTTTTTCTGAAAAACTTTTACTTTACGAAATTTGTATTTGACAACCCTGTCCTCCACTCAAACATCATGAGTACGTAAAAACATAATATTCAATACTTCTTCCTCCACAATAAAAAGCTATATTCTTATGCTCGAAATGCTGATCTCAAGAAATGCGAAACAGAAAAGGACAACAGGATCGTTCTGCCCTGTGCGCGTCTCTGGCGGGGACTCCCCGGGGAGTTGACGGTGGAGAGTGGATTAGGGTACATGTTTTGCTATGTGTCTTAGCATAACAGTGTAACTAGAAAATTATTGTTTCTTGAACCTATGGTACACTTCCAACTGTGTCTAGGCTATCGTTGATAAGGATGGATTGATCCACACCTGACTCGTGAAACTGATATTGCCACTTTGGATCAGTCAAAGTGATTTCAGCATATATTGGTGGGAATTTTTCTTTCTACATGACGTATCTCTAATCTCATGTGAGAATCGCAAAAGTTGTTTGCAATAAAAGAGATTCATAGAATCTGTTGCTCAAAAGAAAATTTATTTTACTCTCAAGATTGATTCAAAGATGGCGAGAAGTTGCACTTTCTTGTCATTTTCTATTCCTCTTGATTTGCATTTTAATGGCCGGATGGAATTCGCATGCATTTTCAAAAAGGTGTTTGGTGTGTAATTGAATTTTGATGTAGTGATACACCCAATATCAGCTTACGTACGAATACGAGACAATGGAATAAGTAAGAATTAGAATAGAGAGACCAAACAGTCATGTCTCGTCGTGAGGTCAGAGTGTGTACGCTTATATTATCGACACAAGTATGTATTTGTTAATGAATATGACTTTATCATCCTAATCTATTTTTCAAAGTTTATTTGTAACATTCATATTTCACTGTATATAGTTTCATGTGTATGCATGCAAATATAACTCGGTACCCCCCAAATAATTACATCAAAAGGAATATAGGTTCTATTCAATAATGCTAAAACAAAATATCAAGATTGAATATGATTTCCAAGAGATCTATTCAGTCTATGAGATACTGATAGAAATCTTTAAAATCATCATGTATTTTATTGACTAACATTTGCTTACAATTTATTTTATCATCTATAAAAACAAATCAATCGAAATAAATTTATAAAGAATTTCTTGCAAGAAAAAAGAAATAAGGTGTAAATATACCACTTTCACCGCCACGTATAACTCCATCTCTTGCTGTTTCAAGTATATTGAGAGTTGCTAGACTACCTTGAGCAGCTATCCGAGTTTTTTCCAATAGCCAAACTGTATTATGTGTTAACAAACGTCCAAAAAAAGTCGTACGAAAATTCTCTAATGATAAAAGAGAATCTCCACCTTTTAATGGTTGATACCATGGAATATCTCCTTCTGGAATGATTCGACTTTCTTCAATTGTAAATCCAACAGATTTTAAATCAGAAAGTAATTGATGTGTAGATTTCAAATCAGGCAATGCATCACCTTCTTCTATTAATCGTTTTGTTTCGACGTGAACAGAATTTTGACTGTCGTACTTATCAGTTAAACACCAATCATAACCAACCAAAGAACCACCTGGTTTAAGTACACGAATAACTTCGGCAAAGCATTTTGCCTAAACATAAATGAATAATTAAGTAAATGTTATCAAACTATATGACTTTACCTTATCGGGTGCATGACAGACAGCTTCAATAGTGTAAACATGATCGAAACTATTATCTTCAAATGGTAATTTCATAAAATCACCTTGAATAAACTGACAATCAGCTGGTACACCTATAGATAATAAAAGTTAACTCCTTAAAATAAATTAATATTGATCTCACCGATTTTCTTCGCTCGTTGAATTTGATAATCACTAATTGTAATACCTATAACATGTGCTCCAGTTAGATGAGCAATACGTCTCAATGGTCCACCCACACCACAACCAAGATCGAGTACTTTATCATCTGCTTTTAAATTCATTTTTAATGCTAAATACGATTCATGTCGTTGAATCGATTCAGCTAATGTTTCGCCACGAAATCGATTTGCAAAATGAAAACTTTGTCCCCAACCATATTCATAAAAATCTGTTACTAAACTGTAGTAACTTGAAACTAAATTTTTGTATTCATCTTTCCGTTGATCAGCACCTTTTGAATCGCCAAATAATGAATTGTAAAATGAAACTTCTTTTTTCACATTATCATTTGAACGTCGGATCAATGTATTTTGGGTCATTATTGTGTTGCAATAATTAAAAAGTGTAACTAAATTATCTTATGAAGTGTATATATATATATATATATATAATCTTCTAGTGATATTAATAAATGGCGTGGTCGTCTCCAGTTAAATGGCGTGATCTCTTTATTTTCAGAGATACAAGTATAAAATTGCATAGATGTCGCTCGAACAGAGTGCCAGTGAATCATTAAATGTATGAAATTCATCATCATAAATAGGAGACGGGAGAATGCCTAGCAACAGGTTGAGCATAAAATGGTAAACCGAACAATATAAATGAATCACAAGTGTACACCTGATAGCGTTTTATCCTTTTAAAATCTACTCTGAACTATTCATTCATGTTCATGTGTACAAAACAATTTGTTATTTTTTCTCTGATAAGAACACAACGTTGCAATTGATACTATAGCTTTTCATGCTGTGAGAGAAGAACTACAATGATAATAGTGAATATAATTAGGCAAATCACTATCAGGTTTCTTCTTGATAGAAGTTGTTATTTTTAACTGAAATTGAGAAAAATGATAATCTGATTAAAACATATTACGTAAAGAAGCACTGATACATACTCTGTATTCTGCAGACACGTATATATTAGAGTAAAGCTTATAGATGGTTTCATCTCATTTTGTAATCACATCCGATTCTATTGTATTTTATTTTATTCTTACATCGGCATACACAACTGATCAGATTTCACAATCTAAATCTCATTGATTTCTTTTTTCTTCGGTCTTTATTCAAATAGTGATATGTGTGAGTTGACAAATAATCTCTTCTGTTTTTCTCTGAACATGAATCAACTGTTTATACAAGTGCGTAAAATTTTCTTTTCAGTTTTTTATTTATTTATATCAAGACAGAGAGAATGATAGAAAACGAAAACTCCAAACAGCCGATGCCTATCAACACACACATCAAGGTCATTCATTGTGACAAAACAAGCAATCGAAGATTAGATTTTTAACAATTGTCAATCTAAATTTAAACATGATTCTTGTTTTATTTTTTTCATTTCTCCGTTTTCTGTTCTTTTAGCTATGCATTATTAATGACAAAAGGAAAAAGAAATTCACAGGAGGACGAAAAATCTCTGTGTTTCATTTTTAGATTGATGAAATCTTATGAAAAATCGTTTTTTATCTACTGGTATGAGCGATGAAAATAATATTTTTACTCTATTATTCAATCGTTCAAACAACGATTACTTATAGTAAAAATCCATATTTGGGCTGTTTTATTGATCAAATCGGTGATCGTGATCTGAATATATTCATTAGTGACTATGAACAATTAACTCCGCAACAATGTATTGCTGCGTGTCGAGAACAAAATATTCTCTATGCTGGGATACAGTATGGTAATGAATGTCGATGTGGTCAACACTATGGAAAATATGGTCAAGTATCCGATGATGAATGTATTTACAATTGTTCGACATCAGAAAAATGTGGTGGTGATAATCGAAATAGTATTTACAATGTATTTAAATCAATTGATACATCCAAAACAGGTTTCTATTTTTTTTTATTATAAAACAAAACTAAAAGGATAAAAACAAATATTTTTTAATTAAGATTCAAGTTGTCAAAATCATTTAATTGGTTATAAAGGATGTTTTGATAGTATAGCATTGAAGAAAGGCGTGGGTGTTGTACATTCACTGAAAGAATGTATTCAACGTTGTGCTATAAAATATGATTATGCAGGGATTATGAATGGGTAAAGAAAATTCTACTATTATTGTCGTCATTTGTTTTTCTTTTCGGAAAGTTATTTATGTTATTGTGGCAATCATTTAACTCGACTACCATCAAAATCAAATTTATGCAATATTCCATGTCATAAAAGTCCAACTGATTGTTGTGGTGGTCTCTATGTACTTAGCGTTTATAATATAGAAAGTTATCGTTAGTAACTTAGAAATAAATAAAGTACAAAATTGTTTAATAATTATTTCTTTTTAGAATCATCATCAATAAACGATCTATCTGAGAAATTAATTCGAGGTGAGATACGATTTTTAAATAGATTTAGTATCTACTTAGAATAGTATAGGATAGTTCATAGTTTTAATAAACTTTCTTTTTACTTATTATTATCTTTAGTAAAAAGGGCTGACGGTAAGTTGATTGTAATTACTTCTTAATGGTGTGTATTTATAATAATGCGCATTCGTTTGTATAAGTGTGCGTTCGTTTAAAATAGTAAATGACAACTCATAATTGATATAATTTTATTTGTCCACTATAAATGTTGTGATGCTAATATCTTTACAATGCTCTATCTAACAATCATGATGACTAGTTATATGAATTCATCATTTTTACAGAACGTTTCCTCTTTGATTTTAGCGAATAGTGAAACTACCTACTCATCTGCACAAACTACTGAGGCAAATTCAATGTCTAGTGAATCAGTGACAGCATCATCTTTAGTGAACTCTCCAACAACAAACAATCCAAGTACAACGAATAGTAGAAATGATCTATCGTCAATGATGTCCAGTGTGACATCAACTAATAGTTTAAGATTGGCAGGTACTTCGGCATCTGTAGTACTCAGCACAATTGTTAGTAGCACTGATACTGCTTCATTGTCGCTCACCTTGACAACACAACCAATCAGTGGTTCAACAATATCAACTGCTACTGGATCATCAACGTATTCTAGTCAAAGCACGATGATGACTGCAACACAACAAAATAGTCCGAACACTTCACTTTCATTCACTAATTCACTCACGAGTAGTTCTACGAATGTAGGAATACAAACGACGGTTAATTCTTCATTGTCTCCAGGTAACATAATTAAAAATGGCTATAATTTTCAACTAAAATCTAGAATATTCAATATTAATAATTTCGTTTTTTTCAATGATGTTTTTTTTCCGTTCAATATTATTTAGACGTAGCTACTCAAATAACAAGTTCTACAACATCGACTACAACGACTGTTTCAACTGCAGCAACCACAACCGTGTCTGCATTATATACTATTTCTACAAGTTTATTGATATTATTCTTTATTAGAAAGATCAACCAAATTGTTCCTTTTTAGTTATTATCGTTCCACTTTCACAAAACTTCACACCAACTGATAACAACACACGAGAATCAGTTCGTCAAGGATTAGTTCGAGTGATAAATCTTGCTTTCACTTGTATAGCTAATCCATCCCATACTAATTGCACACAAACTAGCCAACGCCGTAAACGGGATGTATGTTCAAGTGGTTATAATGTTAATTTACTTTCTAGAATCACTGATGTAAATAGAATTTGATCAAAACGATGATTTTTCTCTCATTTTTAATACTAATCTAGGTTTCTACTAGTAGCGCATCAAGAAACTATCAAGTAGATTATTCTGTCGTTAGTTTATGCAGTGGCGGAGGATTAGTTTCACCAATTCAAGTGAAAACAGCTATGGATGTATTGTCATCTGCACAAATCATTACCACACTCGGTTATAATTATGAGGGAGAATTGATAAGAAGCACAGCTATTGGTAATACACAAACTGCAGTAGCTGATCCTAAATTGTGGATTATTGGAGCTGTTCTTGGACCAGTTGGTTTTGTACTTCTATTGATTTTCGTATTTTGTTATCTTCACTATAAATGTCGACCTCGGCCGGCCAATCGACAGTTAAATAAAGTATATACAATGGTTAGATTTTGAAAATATTAATATTATTAATTGATTTTCTAGAACGTTTCCAAAGCACCACCAGCATCAGTTCGGCCAACAGTAAGTTATTCAAAACAAAAATTACTACATTATGATATTCCTGAATAGAATTATAAAACTATGACCAATGAACCGACACAAGAACAATCAACATCTGAAAAGAGTATACATGCGTTGACTAATATTAATCCATTAGTTGGCACTGCTGCAAGCCCTCGACGGTTAACACCTACTGAATCCGAGAAAAGTTCACATTATACACCTCGTTATCCAGTTTCAGTTGAAATGCCAATGGATGAAATACGCCGTCAAAATGATGTCGAACGTTGGAGAAATAAACTTCGTTTACAAGACAAATTTCAAGTAAACTAGAGAAGACAACAATTTCTGAAGAGAAACCTTCTCTCCTTTGTTTAGCCATCGTCTTCTATCAAACTGCCTGATTCATCTGTACCAAGTAAGTAATTTATCTATTTACTAATTAAGAAAACAGAAGGATCTGAAGAATGTGCGTCACTGCCTTCTACTTTACACGTAGCTATAAAAGAAACGAATCGTTCCGGTTCATCACAATATGATAATCAAGCTTTTCAAAATGATATTCCAATAATTAATATTCAACCAGCTGAAGAAATAATTTCAAACAATTCACCTCGTCGTTTATCATCAGAAGTTGATATCGAAGTTGGACGTACAAAACTGCATCGTCTACTGGATGAAGTTCTCGATAAAGCTGACAGTGAAGAAAGTTACAATCCTGATTCTGAAGGTGAACGCCAAAAACGTCGCCGCCAACGACGTCGTATTCACTCCATATCCGATGATCGTAAACCTTTACCTATCGACAATAAACATCAGCAAATACCTCATGTACCTATTATTCCTCAAGTATCTGAACGTCCTGATCGATCGATTATTCGTCTTCATTACAATCCATATGAAGCAGGTGATCGTGCTCATGATCTAGCAAATTTACCGCCGGTCGAATTCAAACGAAAATATTCCATCGATGAACCACAAAATAATCAACAGACTTCACGTTCAAATCCTCCATTATTTTTTGATGATTTCACGATAGCCGATCGTGCAATGACAGCAACCGACGCATATGCGAGTTCGAAACGAGTAGCTAAAAGTCGTGTTGAAACTGATCGTCAAGCCGCCATGCGCCATAGTGGTGGTCGAATGGATCAACGGCAACATCAACTTAATGACGAACAGGAGGAAGATCCAGTGGGAATGAATGACTATCGAAATGAATTTAGAACAGCAAAGAAAAGCGTTGTCAATACGAAACATATTATATCATCGATACATGATGAACTACAACATATGACTATACCATCATCGAAAGATTATCACACATAGATGAGGTTTTTATTTGTGAATTAATTACTGAACAATAATTTAGTGCTTTTTTGTGTGCTTAAATTGATCTATTTCTGCTTTTGGGAATGAATTTTTATTTTTGTTGTTAAATCAAATAAATAGCACATTTGAAATTAGTGTCGTTAGGGTGTCGCTTGAATCATTTATTGATGATATCTGTCGGCTACGAAAGATTTCTTTCTTTTTTGTTTTCTATCTGTTTTCATTATTTTCAAAACATAAAAGAACAATTTATTTAAGAAAACCAATTCATATCAATATCTGAAACATAAGGTAATGAAGAACGTGCTCCAATACCTTTTAATTTGCATGTAGCTATATAAGATGCAAAACGAAGTAATTGATCTCTGGACCAGACTTCCTTTGTCAATAGTCCATAGATAATACCGCCAATGAATGCATCTCCACTACCTGTTGTATCAATAATATCTTTCGATTCAATAGGCCATGCACTACATTTCCATACAACAAAATCTTCTTCATTCATACGCATAATTTCCTGTATAACGATACTTTCATGATCTGCATTTTTTTTAACTTCATCAAACGATGTTTTATTGAATTTCTCAACAAGAATACTTCCGTTTTCACCACAAGTTATGATAACAAATCGACATGTTGCAAGAAAACGCACAGCTGTGTGTATCAATGTAGAATCCTTACAGACGTTTCGTGAATAATTTTCTGTTGTTATTATATAATCCATCAAAGGTATTAATTCGCTTATGAAAGGTCGTTCACGTTCAATATCAAGTGAACATAGGATGGATTTCTCTTTCGCTAATGTGGCTAATCGAACAGCAGCTTCAGTTGATCGACTGTCAAAATGAATAAAATTAATTTCGTTTAACCACTGAGGATTAATATCGTCGATAAGCACCTGTTCATTGTTTGCACTGTATAGGCATGTTCGAGTTTTTGATTCTATATCAACAATAATATATGTCAACTGACTTGTCACTGTTGATCGGATAAGAATCAATGATGTATCAATATTTTTTTCTTCCTGAAAACCTTGAAGAATTTTTTCGCCATTTAAATCATTCCCAATTTTTGTTACAAGCTTTAGTTTGATACCTAAACGACTGAGGCATGTTGCTGTATTACCAGCATTGCCCCCACCACATATTGTTAATGAATTTGTACGTAGTTTTTCATCTGGTTGAGGAAAATGATTGACTTGCGCGATATAATCAAGACAAGAAGCGCCAAACACAATTATTGCACTCATTTTCAAGGTCTAGAATAATAACCGAAAAAAAATAAATAGCGCGTTTGGAATTAGTTGTATTTATGTTTTTGTGTTAGAGAATGTTGATTAGAACTTATTTATGGAGAATATATATTTTACATTTGGCTTAGCTAGTCTACAACTTCTACCAATTTTTACTTTGGTATATTTACAAAATGAAATAGCAATTATATCGAACATAATTCAAAATATTCAATCGAAAATATTAACTATAATAGGGATGATTCTGTCATTTGGTTTGGTTTTCGTCAGTCCATTAACGATGGGACATTCAGTTTCGACAATAATTTCAATTCTATTGATTATTACACTAAGTTTAAGTATTAATTATACTTACAAAGATTATACAATTGACGAAGGTTAGAATTTTAATTCAGCAATGAAAAGGAAACATTATTGATATAATGCATAGTTAATGAGTCAAAAGCTTTTTTTTCTTCTTCTATTACTACTATTGACTGGCATATTTTCTCTAGTTTAGTCTGTATGATACGATTTATAGAGATGAGGGTGACGAAAAGGATGCGAATACTCGAGAGCTGAATATGATAGTTATCTCAGCTTATTCCGATAGTAATATATTTAATTGACTAGCAATTGTAGTAATAGTCTTGTTACTTATTTATATTTATTCCTTGGCATATTCAATCTCTCGTAAAACTTTAATGTTTAAAAAGTTCCCATTAGTGAAATTCATTTTTTTATTTAGGTTACTACATTACCATTCCCTATTTTATCATCTATTCATGTTTTATTTTCTTCATTGGTACTATTGACTATCCACTGTTTATTATCGAGTCTTCTGACTTGTCTATGATGCTTCTATGTTCTTTTACATGTTATCTTCTATTTTCTACGCGTAGCTTTCTTGGAATAGAATATCATGCAAGTTATCTTAATTATATTGCATTCATTGGACTTGTCATAGGAACTTCTAATCTAATGTTAATACTTGATAGTAATAAAAATAATCCAATGAAATTCATAATTCATTTTTTAACACTACAATTGATACATATCTATCTATATTTAGCTCATTTACTAAGTGTTAAATTTTAACTGAACTGAGCAATTCTTCTTGAAATTAACTAACAGCATGTCGTTACTCATACTAATAATAAATCTAAAAATTCCAATTGATTTTTTAAGGCAATCTTCAATCTGCTGCACTAGAATCGAATTATTTACGGTTGAGCAGCTTCCATTTCCGAATGTGTTCTAAGCATGTGTCCATCGATATAAGATACACATTGCCACTATTGATTAATTAAAAGCGTGAAAATTAAAAGAAAACCGAGTCCACTACATCGTGATTAATTTTTTATTTGATTAATTCGTCTCTAGAACACGTACATTTGCTGTGCACAAGCAACAAAAAAAAATACCAAGATGCATATATAAATAAATAGAGGCAAATGAGTACACAAATACGCTAAGAAAAAGGAAATCGTATAGAAACACTGTTCGTTTAAAAGAATTTCGTTTGTATATTAAGCGCATTCTACAAACGTAGACAAAGAAAAATTGCACAAGATTAGTTTGATGTATGAATATATTACGATAGAATTTGATTAATAAAAAACGAAATGAAGCAAAGAAAAAGAATTAAATATGCGCATGGAACAGACTACACAAATAAACAAAAAGCTCTGTGTACAAGGTAATCATAAATAGAACGACACAAGAATAGAGAATAAAAATGTTTGATTTAATTTTATGGAAAAAATAGTAATTGTAATTGTATTAATAATAATAATAATAATAATAAACACAGAATACATGGAAATCTGATGATTTGCATATTTCTACTGTTCGTCCTCTTGTCGAGGTTTCATTTCAAGATCACGTAGAAATTGTCTTGGAGTTACTATATGATCACTACCTATGAATTGTAATTAAAAATAAAATTTAGTTTTCCAGTAGAATAAAGTTTCACTTACCAACAAATACTTCCCATTTCTTAGTATTATTTTGTGTTACTTCGTATGCACAACGAAGTTCACTATAGGTAACTCCGCCAAGAATAAAGATAATTAAACGTGGGCCTGAACGAACCGCACCTTTGCGATTATGCATCCAGCCACCGAACTCTCGTGAACTAAAATAGAGTCGAAATCATTATCGGTATTATATAAATGAATTTTGTGTTTTTTTCGAATTTACCTTTGTGCAGCATAATTAGATGCAATATTTCGTTGGCCACCAACGGATGGAAATTGCCGTTGATCCAATTTATCATCAATAATATCCTTCAAAGAAAAATATTATTATTGAAGTTAATCATCGAAGCTACGAGTTTCGGATTAGAAATAGAACATAAGTTCAATAGGCCTTCACTCACTGTTGTATTTATCTGTATATAAAATTATTTCCAGAACAATACAATCCTTTTGATCGTTTTCTAAGTAAAATAACCGAAGGCTACATCTTGTACGATCAGGATAATTACTCGAGGAAACAACTTAATAAATGTATTTCTTTGAAAAACCGAAAGGTTACTGAATATGATTGTCGCATATCACAATAAACAGCTCTTATAGAAGAAATGTCATCGTAAGAATAGTAATTAACGTCTTTCGGAAGAATGAATTCCAGCTTTGTTTTTGAAAATTTATTATGAAAAAAAAAAATAAGTGCCTTTTCTCAAGGACATTCATACAAAAAAAAGGCATTAAGCTCCTCCTCCTGTCAAGAATCGACATCCGGGAGATTACGCCTCTTTGCTTCCGGCGTCTCAGAACGCTCCTGAATATAAAGATAAAGATTGAAAAACAAAGTCTATTCGCTATTGTTAGCTTTTCTTTAGTAATTTTCTTTTTCTTACCTCCATGATATCTTTAACATATGGTGTCCATCTTGAATTCGTATATGTCGTTTCTGTACGTTCTTTTCTTGGTTGTGGAATGTTTTTTCGTCTTGCCGCCTAAATGAAAATTCTCTTATTTATCAAATATACATAAGAATTTTCTTCATAAGCATGCACAAAAAATGTTTGTGGTTGTTTTTTTTAGTTTCTTTCCATGCTCACAAACATATACAAATAAAAATGGAAATTGAAAAAATTGAAAAAAAGGAAAAACAAAATTATACAGGTGTACATCTTGAAAAATATCCAGTCATGCTCATAAAGAAAAATATATCAAATCACCCCCGACGTCTTTATAAATAATTCCGTAGCCATGTGTATGGCAGATGTTCTGCCTAAATCCGCTGATACTCCACTTCCACGCTGGAGGAGTGTTTTATTTTTTTGTATAAAAAATAAGAAAAAAGATTTATTTTAGTGACATACTCGACTTTGATCTTGAATGATTTGTAAATTAAGGTGTTGCATATTTGATATAATTGTTTTCTTGTCTGTTGGAATCAATGCATGACTTAACAATTTATCAAGATTTTCTTCCGTAATACCTATTTGAGAGAAAATACAGCACAAAAATTAATCTTCATATTTTTCTTTCAATATAAAAATGAAGAGTGCATACAGCGTGTTATATTAATTAGTTAATTTTAATTAAAATTAAAGAAAAGAAAATCCCCAAAAATCAAAACTAGCGGTCATATTTTTGTTTTTACTCTTTACCGTATGTATCCGGTGGGGTAGTACAATAGCCTAAATTAAGATTTTCCGTTTTTATGATTCATCATCCGTGTCTCGAATTCAAAAACAAAAATCAAGAATTAAAATTTACCATTTTTGTGTAGAATATATAACATAATAATACGTAATTTATCTTCAACAGCAATGACAGTGTCGAGTAATAATGGAACTATATTACGCATATGATCTTTTATACGTTCACCTTCAGGATCAATACCCATGGCCAAATTCTAAGAAAAAAACGAAAAGAGCTTTAAAAAAAGTTATGGAACAGTAGATTTTCTTTGAAAATTGCAAGTTCTTGTGTTCAATTTTAGCTTTTTGTTAACTAATGTGAATATGTAATGCCAAACAATTATCATATGGAATTTTCAATCCGGAACTACACTTAGCGTTATTAAAAAGATCTTCTTCGCACATAACAAGTACATTCTCTCGGGAAGTAAAATGAAAGAATTTTTTTCTTTACCTGCTCAACTGAACATAATTTTTCGCCAGAATCTCGACTATATGCATTCATGCATTGCTCGGCAATATTAAAATGAAGTGCGTAAGCATTTAATTCTTTTTGGTATTGAGGCATTTTTTTAATCATCAATCTAATAAAAATTAAAATCAAAGAGTTTCTCATGGAAAAACAAAATTTCACTTACGAAAGATCTTTCATTGTTGTACGTTCACCTCGATCAGAATCTTTAACACGTTTTTGTATTGCAAAATCTTTAATTTTCTTTGTAATACTCCTTAAAAGAAAAAGATAATCACCATTTAAGATACAAACAAACATCAAACTACGAACTGTGTAACAACAGCAATATGTTGATGACGAAGTTCTGTCCAAAGTTCATCATTTTCATCTAATAACACTTTTTGTTTTTGTCCAGGATTTGTTTTCGGATCAACGCCAGGCGTTTGAACTTCATATCTAATCAAAGAAAATGACCATCATTTACTTCCGAGACAAACAAAAAAAAACGTCATACTCAAAAACATCATTTTCAATTTTTAATAAATCATGAGCCATAGCTTGGAATGTTAATTCATGTAGTAATGGTGAGACAGCATCAAAACCACGATCAAGTAAAAGTAAAACTGATTTTGCCTTGTCACCACCCTAAACGTGAAAGAAACAGGAAAACAATGATTGAAAAAGAATATTTTCATTTATTTACTTCGCCCATTGTTGAATCATCAGCTTTATATTGATTAAGTTTTTGTTGGACAGCATGTGCAAATTCGAGTAGTTTTTCATTTTCAGATCGATAACGAATTGTTGGATATTCACCAAGTGTTGCACACAATGTTGCTATTTGTTCGGCAATGACATCTAAATGTCCAGCTCGCACGTGAGATTGTGATGGATCACATGAAATAAAAAATGTATCAGGCGAATCAAGTGTAAAGACCTTTAAATTACATATATATGAACAAATAGAGATTAATGTGAAAATAAATATTTATTTTCTACCTGGCGTTCATATGGTAAAAATGCGATATTAACTTCCCGTAATGTTTTTATATATTTTGCACATTTCGACTGAGTTAATTTAGTAAATAAATCAGAATTACATGCTAAAAGAAAAATTCATTTTAGTGGTATAAATTTTTTGTTGGAGTAACTTTTTCCAAGAAATTATGATTATCTGTTAGTTTAAGATAAGCCTATCGAGAAATGAAGTGTCTACTTGGAGATTTGAGTATCAGGGTTTTTATTATCGGAAATAAGCTTGTGTCATATTCTTGTAATATGAAGTTTGTCCCCGAAGGCTTTTAGTTTCATTCATAGAGAACCAAATTAAGCTCGATTGCGATAACAGTAAATAGTCATTAGCATTATTGCCAAAGGAAAGTAATGTCATAATATTTCCTGCTATTATAGAAGTAATTATAAGTACTTGATAACTTGATCAAGTCAAATTAGAGAATTTTGGATCTGATATTTCACTTAAAACGTCATGAAATCAGTCAATGTAGGACTATTTTCATAAGAAAAAAAAACATATTTATTTGCTAAAACAACAATGATTCATCGAAAAATAACATATTTATTTGCTAAAACAACCATGATTCATCGAAAAATAACATGAATTTCTGATTCATGTATTTTAAAAATAGAAACCAAAAATGTTAGTTCCTGATTTCGGATAAAAAGTATAGTTGTTGTGTACTAATGCACACAAAATCAAAGTCTACTGCTTTAGTTAAAATCTCTCACTCTATCGACCATGATTTTACACGGTATTTACCTTCCGTAAAAAACACATGTGCAGCTTTATATTTGGGTACTAATGCATTTGCTTTATCAAAATCGTTAATAAGTTCGTTGACAGACTAGAAAAAAGAAAAAAGCACAAATGCTTCGATATCAATCTTAGAAAACAAAAGAAAAAACTGTTTTACCCTTTCGCTCGGTTGAATAAAATAGACAGCTTCAAGCATTCCTAAAGGTTCACGTTTTTTCATGATGTCTTCCACGACTAAAATACATTTTTTTTTATAAATAAAACTAAATAATAAAAAGAAATTCTACTTGTAATTCCTTCGGACATAATATCATGCATTTTACATGATGCAGATATAATTCGTGTTGCTAAACGATCCATAACAAGAACTTTCCAATCGCTCCGTTCTTTCTGCCGAACGGATTCACATCGTAGCATCTCATTGATTAATTCTATTAAAAATAGAAAAATAAATACGAATCTTCTTTTTCAAGTCCTTTTTTTGTTTCATACTTGCGCCGACTAATTTCTGTAAATTGGACGTTGTCATTGTATTATGATTAATTCATACGTATTAAAAATAAAAAATCATGTATAAAAAAACTCTTTTTCGATCAATCTTGCTATTGATTATTATGGTTTATATAGTCGAAGAGTTTTTCAGTAGAAAAAAAATTACTGAGATTTTTTACTAACAAATAGTTTTATTGAGGATTGAAAAACATCGATATGGTCTGTTTTTCTATTCAATTCACAAATGCATTTGAATTCAGTATGTCTTATTCTATTGGTTACATGTGAGAACCAATCGATATAGGTATTGTTTATTCATTGTTCCTTTTCTTCTTTGTTATCTATTATCTAAAATAGGATACAAACGTGGATCAAGGAATCTAGCAAAAAGTGTTGGCTTTCAAAAAATGACCTGTGAGGTAGTATGAATACGAGTTTTTCTGTTTTTCGTACTTAGTGAAATAGTATTTTCGCGAAAAGATATAATTATCGTAGAAAATGAAACCGCAGAAATTAAGTTCTAGTAGAAATTTTAAATTTCACACCTTACCGATGAATCGTAAGTGTGTTAGCGACTGTTTATTGGCTTATCGATCGCGAAAATAAACAAGTGATTTTGCCCGTATTCTAACTTTAAGAGGAATCTTCTGATCCTTGTTGAATCCCAACAGCATGTAACCGTGCTCACAAACAAATTGATTAGATTAAGAAAAATTAGTTTCAATAAGTAGGAGGTAGACATTGAGACCACCCACAGATGTGATTCACACATCAGTAGCGTGTCTTGACAGACATGTGCGAAACAGTTTGTCATATATGTGACAGACATATTTGATGTTACATCTTATTTACTTTTTTTAATTTCATTTCTCGAAAGTTAAGCGATTGAACGGTAAAAAGGAAATTCTCTACTATGTGAAAAATCTTTAGACGATTTGATTTCTTTCATTATTATCGTATCTGATTCTGACACAGAGCGGTTTATCTACGTATTAACGAGATAATGAACGTATTCGAAATAGTGATATCCTCTTAACATAAATTCCTTTCCAACGATAGGATAGGTCACACCTTCATTTTATTTTTTAGATAAACAACAAAATATCAAATTCAAAACCAAGTATTATTATGGAATTACCATCATCATCGGTGCCAATTAAACAAAAAAATAAAACGCTCGATAATGAGAGTAAACAACAGAAGATAAACGAAGATAATAATAAGCGTAATTTAAGTGAAAAAACAAGTGATACTTCTTCAATAATAAGTAATGAGAAGGTAAAAGATTTGGCCTATCATAATTGGTTACAATAGTGGGGCTATGAAACATGCCCTGAGATTGGAAAGAAGCGAAGACATCCTTGAGTAATTGAGAGAACAAGATGTCAAATATCCATTTAATTTAAATAGAGCAGCTGGTGTTCGTATTAAGAAAATGTTTCAATAGCTATTTATTCTACTATATGAACAATAACGATGAACAATTCATATAAGATAGACGTTGTTGGTTTCGTGTTTCGTTTAATATTTTCTTAACTGATTGTCTCGTAAAATAAACTTGATTTTAATTCAACTGAGACCGTTTAATTATTACAACTTTTTATCTAGGATCCCAAAGAAAATGAACTAATTATCTACGAATTTCATTTTCCTGTTGACCTTTGTGGTCGTCTGATTGGCCGACAAGGCGTTCATGTTGATTATATTCGTCAAATGGCACAAGTCGATTTAGTTGTACGAGATGACGCTATTTCTTATGAAAAACAAGTCGTTGCTTTACATGGTATTCGAGTTTCTTTCTTTGTTTCCTATCTTCAACATTGAATCTAAATTTAGGTCGTCGAGTTGACGTCGCACAAGCAATTGAATTAATAGCAAAACGTTTTCCACTTGACCGTTATCCACAAGTAACATTTAAACCTATTAATAAAAAAATTATTGTACGACAACGTGCACCGGAATGTGTACCAATACCTTCATCACTTGCTCAAGTATAAATTTTCAATGGAAAAAAATCATAGAAAGAAAGAAGTTTCGTTTTTTTAAGCTCTATTTACCAGATGGAATACCAGCAGAAATTCTTGTGACTAGTGTTGTTTCATGTAATCATATATTTGTTCAACAAATTTTACATGCATCTTATCCTGAACTTACTCGTCTCGATAATTCGATGTCAGTATTTTATCATCATACAGAAATGACACCACTGTTACCTCGACCTATTCAACGTACGATCTTTTTTTCTTCATGAGTAATTTTTTAAGAAAAATTTCATTTTGTCGAATTTAGCTGGTATTATTGTTGCAGCACCTACTCAAGCTGGTTGGTTTCGAGCATTGATTACAATCTATAACAGTAATCACGATATGGCTATGATTAAATTTCTTGACTACGGAGGTTATCTCTATGTCCATGCAAATTCTCTGCGTGTTCTCAGGTAAATCTTGCGACCATTTCTATTTCCAAGAAAATTTTTTACGATTAATTGTCTAGACAAGATTTTATGGTGATTCCATTTCAAGCAGTTGAAGTGTATCTTGACAATGTAGTACCAGCAGATAGTGAGTGATCATCGAAAAGTATATTACAGTTAAATATTCTTTCTAATTTTAGATCAAGAAGATTTTACGCCAGAATCAATCGAGTCAGCTAAAGCAACACTTCTTGGTGCTTGTTTTAAAGCCATTGTCACTGGGTATCATTACGATAATACACCCTTTATTCAGTTAACAAAACGCCACGGAAATGTAATTTTTTCTAAATCAAAAATTCAAATACGATCCTTTTTATTCTTTTCAGGCACGTCCGATTAATATTGATGTTCAAAAAATGATCAATAGTCAACATCAAACATCAGCTGTTACAAACAATTCTAATTCATCTTCAATACACCAATTAGAACAATCCGACGCATCAGTATTATCCTCAACATCCAATTCAGATGGTTAGGTAATAATAAAAAACAATATTCGATTTTTCGTGTATTGGAAGAATCACTAATTGTTTTTTTCTTTCTTTTTCGTTCTTTCTCATCTATTCTAATCATAGACAAAACAATGTGATTGTTGTGCTTGCCTTTCTTGTTATTGTTTTTTTTTGTTTTTTGTTATTTTTAGGGGGATGATCTATACAGTTACATGTATACGTTCCTCTTTTGTTGACCACTTTTTTTTCTGGTTATCTTCAGTCGGTTTTTTTTGTTATATCAATACGTTATGTACCTTTGATTCTGCTCAAGGAAAAACACAAAAATTTCAAAAAAGTTGTTTTTTTTTAGTAAAGTTATTAGTTATGAACTGTAACTAATCTGCTAGTATCTATATTGATGATGGTTATTGGAGTATTCGGCTCCTATTGATAAAGATATCGTGATAGAATGAAATTCTTTTAGAAGTGACATTATCTAGATTAAATTCTCTAATCAATGATACATGAGAAATCCTGCCTCGTCGATAGAAAAGGTAGTTATTTTGCTTTTGTGTTATTCAATCAGATCTTGTAACTATGGACTAGAGCTGTTTTGGAGCATGAATCTAAAATTTAGCTCAATCCGACTAAGACATTGTAATACCAATTTTCTTTTGTGATAATTCTCAAGTTTTAGAGATATTAATTTAAACACTATGATTCCTCATTTTTTTTCTTCTGCCGTATTACACAAAAACTAATATGATTAAGGCTTTTCTTTATCGCATCAAAGACATAACAAGCCAAAAGACATGTTTAGACGTGTCAGCCGAAGGGTTGAACGGCGGCGGCGGGCAACAATTTTCAATTTTTGAACATTTCCAGCGGCTCGTTATTTGAATGAGTAGTGTCTTCAGCGACGGCGTCGGCTGACGTTTGCAAGTCCTTATGTAACGGCGGTGGCTCAGCCGTACAGCTGACGCCTCTAGACATGTTCCCTAATTTTATGTATGGATACATCAGAAGTTTAATTATTCGTTACAGGTTGCGCTTAAAGTTTAGATAAAATAAAATAAAATAAGCAAATTCGTTTATTAATAACAGAAAGACATTTAGGAATTTTCTAAAACGCCACTTTGCTACTTGTCTGCTATGTGAGCGATATTTAAAAGTAGTATCTTTTTTCAAGCAATCAGATCAAACAACTAAAGTCTACAATGACCATACTCTAGAGCATACTTCAGTATCATCGCATACATACTAATTTGTTTTGCAAGCAAATATAATCATCTTAGTATAAGAGAAACTCCAATAGAAAGGTTTATATAGAAAACAGATGACAATTATATGGACTATGTTTGTTTTGTGTATCGAAAAATTCGCTCACAATCATTGTAACAATTCCCATGATATTAAAACCGGGAAATAAAATAGGAATAGGCTCATTGAAATTTTTTCAAGAACTAATAACATTTATTAATTTTCAATAGATTTCATTATATTCTTTAATATATTATCGAGAGACAACCATTAACAAATCTCATGATACTTCATTAAGATTTTGCCACCGAGGTGCTTGACTCTCGAGTCTACTTAAAATTCAATAGAACAAAATTCTTCTGAATCATAAATAGAGCTTGATATGTTTTTATGTTCATGAACTTTTCTATATCGCAAAATCTTCTTCAAAAAATGAAACAATAAGATGATATGTGCTCAGTAAACATATTTCACTTTTGTTATTATTTAAAATAGAAAAATAAAACAACATCAACAACAACAACAACAACAACAACAACACACAACATTTATAAAACAAACAAAAAGAAAAGAAATCATATATTGTCAAAATAGACACTATTGTTGTCCGTTGCTCTATGCGTGGATTTTGAGCATTTGATTGTGTAACATAATCGAAAAATAAAATAAAATAAAATAAACCAATTATTAATAAAATTTGTTTTTTAATAGAGCACCAGGTTTAAAAGTGAAGAAGAAAAACAACAACCGAAAAATGTGCCATATACAAACATAGATCACACAGTATTTTGTCGTTGAGGACAGGTCACGGATATTGTTGGTAAGGTTCCACGTATAGTACTTAATTGTGTTTGAACATGAGCTTCTAAACGTTGCCATAAACGATTATTTTGCTCACTGACTGCCACCGCCATTACATTCGGTAAATTGTCAATTTGTGTCTGTAAAAGAAATGCAACAAACCTATGAAAGTATAGTTTAAAGAAGCAAAACAAATAGTAATTGCAACTAGAGATTATACAAGATGGGCAAAACTGAAAGCGTAGAACGACAATGTCTGAATCATACACGTCGGAGCATTGTCCTTGAAGATTTAACGTGGCGGAAAAGATTTTCCTACGAGCTAATTTCATGATTTATGCGAGCAGAAAAAAACAAAATACTCCTCTTCTCGATGTGAGTTCGAGCTATAATTAGAAATGATTCTCAAAGCACGATATTTGTTAAACAATTATCATATCTTCAGGAATGGCCACTTATCTGAAATACGAGTCTTTTTGTTTCACTTGTTAATCAATTCATACATATTGAAGTTCATCATATCTTCCATCTCTATAGCTATCAAGATAAATTTGTTGACCAAAAAAAAGTATTTCTCATTGTAAAGTATCCGAGCTCGATTTTTTAAGTGAAATCTTCAAAGTCATTCTAAAATTCTTGATATTAAAATTTCAACATAAGAAGTTTATAGTTTTCTTTTTTTTGAAGCGGAGGAATTCAATGATGATGAAAATTCAAAAAAGTGATTTTAAATGGCACGATCAATTGCCTGCGATGACATTGCAATCGGAAAATTTATTTACAACGATTATTATATTACCTGTAACGCTAGGAGTCTTGCATCTAAATCATAAAACTTTGATTCAAGAACAGTTTGATTCGAAAGCATTTGAGATACGATATCATATACAGATGATTGAAGCTGAAAAAGAAATATGTTCCACGAAAAATGAGCGTTTTTCAACTTACCCGTGCTACATCAGATACAGCATTAACATTATCCGTTAGTTTTCTTTGATCCAATTTAACTTTTCGTAAACTAGAGAAAGCAAAATTTGAAAACATCTTTCAGCACAAAACCAACAGTTTTACCTATGAATTGCTTGAAGAAATTTTCGTTGATGTGCAAGCACTCGGGATACGTTTACATGTTTTGCTAATTTAGTATATTTATATATTAACCATGTTTCACGTAAAACATTGGCGGCAGCATTTTTTAACTGAACATAATTAGAAAAATGATTTATTTGACAGCAAATATCCAATAGGACATACGCGTTTTGTTAATTGTGTATCCATCATAAAATTGTGAACATGCTTTTCTGCACGAGTTAATTCTAATTTACGAGCCAGTACGGCAACCATTGTTGCTGTACACGAGACACCCTGAGAAAGAGTAAAAAATATTAGTTTCAACGAATGTTTGATTTTCATATTCGATAAATTTTCTCGTTTGTGTTCGTAGAATAAAGAACGAAACATTGAATTCTGAAAAATGTTACTCATTGCTTTTCTATAGAGTAGTTACAAAACGAGTCACATACAAGAATTTAATTGATCTAATGTCATTTATGTATGCGCTTGCATTCTAAAAATCTGCTGAGGATTATAAGAAAGAAAAACTCTAGTTTGATCGCCAGAAATAATAGGGCATGCCTGGGAAACAAATTACGCAAATTATTGTTAACTGAACAGTGTTTTAAAGCGTGTATAATGACACGTCATACATTAGAATCTATTCTCATTATTGAATGGTTCACTGAAAAACGTCAGACAAGATGATTACTTGATTGCGTGAGGATCCATGTGAATTGAAGTAAAGAAAAATATTCTAACATGAACGACATGCGTGCTCTACAAATTTATTTGGTGATGTGAAACATTTATACAGCGATGATTTTCTTTCTACTATCCTCTATATTGAAATATGCACATAGAAGTCTTTAATGCCTTCATGTTAATATAAATATCATAGATCGTGCGCGAAAAAACTTGCAGATTATTTTACTATGAATCCCCACAAGGTTAACAGTTTCGACTAATATTACACGTCTATATTTCGAAAAATAGTATTGCTTATCTTATCGGTCTATTTCACAAGTATTAGATTTATCTATTATTTATACGCCATAGTTAACATCTCAAAGGTCACTTCTCTTGAATCGGAAGAATGGTTCTTCGTTTTTTTTGAAAATAATTTCATACCATTAAACCAGATGCGACGCAAATAGCACGTCCACAATAAGTATTCGGTACTAAATCTCCATAGCCAATAGCTAAAAACGTCACAGCAATTAACCACATCGAATTCAGAATGTTGCCATGATGTTTCGGGTCATGATTACTAAAGAAAAACAAAAAACAAAGTTTCGTTGATCTTCAAGCCAAGAAATGTTTTTACCTTTCACATGCTCGAACTGTCCAACTAGCAATGATAAAAAGTGAAAGAATAAAAACAAGTAAAACCGTTCCTGGACATATTGTCATTAGTGTTTTCAATACAAATCTTGTATTAAATTTAATACGATTGAAAGCCCCAATACTTCTCGATGAAGCATCTTGAAAACAAAAAATAAAAGATATCATTCTTTTCTATTGAAATAAAATGCAAACCTGTAAACAACTTGCTATGCAAAAGCATAACACGACATATTAAATAGAGTCGAATAAACATTGGCAATGACAGTAAAATATCTACAGATACGATAGCTGCTTTTATTTGTGAATGATGATCTGCCTTGTTCGACATATGTGTTATCCATTCGAATTCGAACTTGCCAGGTATTGGATGAATAGCACAAACTAAACAAACAAAAACAGACTTTATTCTGTATTTAGCTATTGAGAATTCTTGTGTAGTTTTACTTGAAACTTCAGCACCTATTTGAAGAATACGTCGCCATGTCATAGCTATTCGCCAATCATCCAAACAATTATCAATCATAAATAACTAATAAACAAATAAAAGACGAAGTCAGAAATAAAGATTTCTCTTCTATCATTACTTTAACTTCAAGTGCATGATAGTAAATAATCATAACAACTAATATTAATGTAGATAAAGTTATAAATGATTTAAGAAATAATGAGCACCATGCATCCTGTAAAAACAAATAGCAGATAATTCGTATTCGTACTTTATCAAATAGTAAAATTCTAATGTTTTAACAATAAAAATTACGAAACGAAACTTTTTTTGCGTCTGAAATATTTCATCAATCATCGTTAAGATAATTTTAATGATGCACTTGTGACAATGTTCAGGTCATTAAAAATATTTTAATAATTAGCAAATCCTAAATAATCACTGAATACAAATATTTCTCTTTGGATCAACAATTAAGATTTATTTATCATTAAAAAAAACTCTTAGCTTTTTTCTGTTGATGTGTAAATAAATTCTTAATAACATGAAGAATTGTCATATTGACTTTTATCAAAGATTGAGACGAGAAAGAAAGCAAAATTTGGAAATCAATGAGAAATATAAGAAGAAGGAGAAAACTCAAGAATAAGAAAACGGAAATAACCATACGACATTAGCGTTTGCTTTCTAGTCGAATGTGTCCTATATCAATAAGTGATTAAGACAGATTTATAAATTACATTCATTTAGGGCATCCATATTTTTGTGTTAAACTCAGAAGAAGAAGAAGAAGAAGAAGAAGAGCAAAATATGAGATCCTTAATATTTTCTATTTTTAATTGAAGCCATACTGAGAAAGACGAATATCGATGATTTATTTAATATAGAGAGAACGAGAGAAAGTAAAAGACGAGAACGAACGATTCAAGTGTTCTTTTGAAAGCAGATGGAAGAGTCCTTAAATCTATAGCTACACTAACGAGCCACTTTTTCGGATCTCTTTAGAATATGTTTCACACATTCTTCAGCTAATTTTATTCATTATGACGACTCTAGTTTTTCTCTTTTTTTGTTTTGTTACCTTGCCATAAATTCTAGCCATAGTTAATTCTTGTTCAAGCACCATAAATAAAAGACCAATCATGGCAAAAAATAAAGCATAATCAGATACTTTCCGGCGTTTTTCAAATAGTAATTTTCTTCGTCCCAAACGAAAGCATTCCTTTCGTGTAGTACGTTCGCCCTGTTTTGCCTCATCGGAACGTGTATTAACAAGTGTATGACATGATAATGCATCATCGTTATTTGCAACTTTTGAATTATATAATGGTGGCGAAGGATTCGGTATCGCAATTGATGTTAAATCAGTTGGATTCGCTGTATTATTTATTGATGTTAGCATACGAGCTTTTTTTTCGGCATTTGAATTTAAACTACCGGATGTAGTTGGTTGTGGTGTACTCGACATGAAATCGCCAAGTAATGAACCGTCACATTCACTCTGACGGGAACTTTGTCGTGGTAAACGATCGGGTCGTTGTAACTGACGAAATGGTATAGCTAAGAATAAGTAATAGTCAAAGAAAGGAAAAAGAAAGAAAGAAAGAAGCAAGCAAGCAAGCAAGCAAGCAAAAACAGAAGGAGAAGAAAAAACTGCCGATCAATCATATCCATTTTTGTTTTCTTTTTGTCTCTGTTTCTCTCCAAAAGCTCAATACATATATATATGTATTCCATTAATGGAAATAAAAATTCGTTTAGATACGTCGTCTATGATTAGTGGGCAAATCCATCGAATGATAACGACGAAAGAAATCTAGCTTGCTTTTCTTCTCATGAGAATGAAACTCAATCTTTTTGAAAGCTATATGCATTAACGCATAAACAGAAAACAAACAAAATTGGTACGTATTTCTCTTGAGATAAACTACCGAATAGAAAATTACCTCCATTATATTTCATCGATTCAAGACTAATTCCAACAATGGTTTCGTCTCGTCGTCGACGTAATTCACCCAACAATGCTCGTCCACCACTTGATATACTTCCACCGTCAGCACTATGATCAGTTTGAGTACCAATATCTTCACTTCCAATTGTTCCTGCACGTCGCCATCCTTGATAATTCATATCAGCTGAATGAGCACTTCCATGAGACTCAATCGATCGGCTGAATGTCGGATGGCCAATGAGAATTTTCGATGAAGTGTGCATTGATGACATTTTTTAATATTTATTTATTGACAAACGAAATACAAATGATTTAGAACGATGATGATGATGATAATAATAAATGATGGTCTTTGGATGTTGACTGGCAATACATTATATACGGTTGAGTAAAATTTCTAGATTTATCTAAATGCAAAAAGCATTTTTTTCTTAATGTTTTGAATTTTATAAAAAAAAACTATTCTTCGTCTATCTATGTTTCGTTCGATCGCTGCGTTGTTTTTCTTTTATTAAAACATAAAAATAAGAAAAAAATAAAATAAATCAAGGATTGCAAAAATATTTATCTATGCGGAAAATCTTTTACCTTCGATTTATTTAGAATCCAGATTCTCTGAAAATAAAGTACGGCGACGTAGATGAATAAGTTTTTGAACCGTTCTATGCAAGTACGATGCATGAAAGATAGGATTAAAAAATAAAGAAACAGAAAATGTTGAATGACTGATTTATTACAGCTGTGGATTCCTTTCTATTCGATGTGGCGTATAAGATTAATGTTTGGCAACTATGGTTTGAAAAGAAGATTGGGTTTGAAAATTTAGATGTTTTCTTGTTTCTTTTTTCCTTTTGCCCAGAAAATCAAAGCCCTAATTGAGCGTACTAACAAACTATGATAGCCGATTGCTTTACTAACATCATAGAGAATGAGAGAAGAATGACGACGGAGATGACGACGAAGAAAAAAATCAGAATCCAACCGCTTAGTGTTCTTACTACATAAATCTCAATTAATTTTTTTTCTCAGTTGATCCTCCTACTCTAAGATGTTCCGATTTCCCAAATCATTTTATTATAGATCATATAAGAGGATAATAAAGTTGATTTAAATTGTTATTCAAAATAAAAGAGCGCTGATTGGACTTGATAGTAGCTTCATGCTGTCACTGTTATGCTCGTTGACTATCTCTCTCTCTCTCTTCAGTCTGTTTTTATCGTCTATATCATATGTATCTATGTATAAATGATCTATAGAAAAAGAGGCTGTCATTTTCAATATGCATAATAAGAATAATAATAAGAAATTGGGCAAATAATCTGGCGGCAACATATTGATACTATTATTTTTGCTTTGCTTGTTACTATTTTGCCGCTACATACCAGTTTATTTTCTACACGCTAATTTACTTAATGATTGGATCAACTATTTTCTGAAACAAAAAGAAAAAGAACACTCAGTTTCTTTTCCTAACTTTACTATTGTTTTCCACAGCTCGTTGTCTCGCACAATACGAAGAGTAAAACGTACATAGATAATGTAGGTATATATACCTATGTGTGTGTGTTTGTGTAGATTGACATGTGGCTGTTAATTGTTGAACGCCTGTTACTCCATTATAGCAAAAAACAAATCGTGAATTATTAGCTATAAGGTAAAGGCACGAAGCTGGAAAACGTTCTCGTTTCTGTCGGCTAAATGTCGAAGAAATAAGGAGGGAGAGAGAGAGAGAAGAAAAAAGATCAGTTTCTGAACACCGGAAAGAAGAAAGAAGAAACAGCAGAAAAAAAGACTAGGAATTAACACGTGAAAAAAGATATTGCATGCAAATCATCCAAGAATACGCCTTAATGTTGGCTGAATTGGATGCTAGTGAATTTTTAATAACGGATGTTTCTATCATAGTTCATATAAGGGGAAAATGTTCGTGGTTGAGTATGATTAATCAATACGCAAATATCCATCGTTATATAGAACATGTATACTCAATCAAGTAATAAGATGATTACACACACGTATTTAGAGGTCAACTTCTTCTTCTTCTTATTTTTTATTTTTAACTTTCGATCCTAGATAATCACCTTACTTTTTAGACAACGATCGGCGTAATAGCAAGGCTATATTTTCGAAAATTAACAGGTAGGATAAGTTTGTTTTTATTCACAAATGAATGGCTTATGGTCGTTTTGTCTTTCCGTTCGATGAAGAACAAGGAACAGGAAAAGCAGATAAACTTATAATCTACTGCCAGTAGTCAACGATGGCATATATTAAACGAAGTGCATCATGTTAGTATTACTACTTCGAATGCTTATTGTTGTCAACCTAGATAAAACAAAGAGAAATAAACATATCGATTAGCGGCTACTCTTCGAAATGAAAGATAAATGCTTTGTTAGCACTAATATTTCAAATCAAATACGACGTTATGCTACGCAGATATATATATATATATAATTTCACTTGCGATAATTAAAATAAAAATTTCTCAATGAGAATGTATTTATAAATATAAGAATAATGTAGCGAATATATACGTCCGATAATAGAAATGACTAAAAATAAATTACACTTAAGCGTAATCAGATTGTCATGAAAAAAATATTAGAAGTACCTTTTAAATATTTTGAGAGTACGAGAATTTCTGCTAGAGTCAAAAAGACGGCAAAAGGAAAAAGAAAAGCAGAGAGACGTGACGAATAATCATACAGTTTTCTAACTGTGTGACTTTCTTCTTGCTTCATCATTTTCTCAGGAATAATGGTAATGAAGAAACAGGAAAACGCTAGTATAATTGAAAAAAGGAACGGAGGAAAAGAAAAAGAAAAAGAAAAATTCTGCTCATAGCTTATCTGTTTTACATACAAGAATATATCATAACGAGAATAAATAGCATGAAAAAAAGAAAGAAAACCGATGCAAATTATAAATAATTAATTAAACTACGTTACTTTTTTTTTTTGTTTTGTTTTGTATTTTAAAAAAAATTTTTTCTTCGGCTACAAGGTTATCCAATCGATGACTGCTTTCTGACAGTTGGAAATCATTTGAATATGATGATTGCGGGCCTATTGTCAGAGATTATTTGTAGCAAAAGCAAAAAGAAATAATGAATTATCTTTCGTCTACATATGCTTATGAGTTTATACTGATTTTGGGTCTACAAAAATACAAACGGCATTGCTATTATTCATAACTCAAAGTAATCCTTAGGAAAATATCGATGCTTCATCAGTATCTGCAAAAACAAAAAGATCTAAACAATTCCACATGAGATCGAAACTACTCTCTGACAGACCCGTATGTCAACTCAATTGTCAAAAGACTTCGACAGTGTTTACTATATGTGCTGTTTAATATAATCTAATGAATAACTGCTTGATTGTCTTCATTCAAAACTCATCAGTGTTCGTTGATTTTTCTAATTAATAGAATTAGGAAAACAAAACAAAAAAAATCGGTTTTTCTCTAATATTAACTCAAACTCGACGATCATCTGATGAAAGCTATTCGATTAAAAGTACACTTGGTGAAATACTAGACATATTCTTTGTCATGATCTCTAAGAAATTATTTTATTTTATAAATATTCTATGAGATATTTAATATCACGATTGCATGTTAGTCTCTAATAGTAATATGTTGTTTAATTTGGTCGAGAATACAACAACATAATAATAATATACAAAATTATTGAGGCATGCTAGTAATTCAAAAAATATGTTTTTCTCTCTTTCAGTAACACTTATTTTGATTTTGGGATAAGAAAAACCAATTTTACAGAAAACCCATTTTTTTTAGTTTAATATTGTGAATATTAATTATACGAGGAAGAATTCTTTAGATTTGATTTCTCTAGAGATTAATTTTTATTATTATATTTTATTGATAAATAATGGATTAAAATATTCTTTTCGGATAGTTATCTAAAGAAAAAAAAAGTTTATATTGTATCATCCATGGTCTAACTGTCAACGATAAACAATGGACACAATGGAAAAATATCGGCAACAATTTGTACTTGTCCTTCGAATAATATCCTTTGATATATTGAAATAAACTGTCTATTTAGATTAAGTGATACAAAGAAAAAGTTGTATATCGATATTGTAATATTATTTTACATGCAATGGAATGTATATTATTTAACTAGAGGCGCCATATGAGAAATTAATTGACTGGTTGTCAAGCCCATGACAATAACAGAACCAGTCTAGGATCTATATTAACCAAGAGCGTTGGCTCGGTTACGGTGATCCTGCAGGAATTGTCAGTCAAAAAAAAAAACAGTAAAACATTTCGCACTTGATTTCTTCTTGTTTTCGTAAGTAACAATTAGAAAAAAAAATGTAACCTTGAATGACCAAAATAGATATTTTAATCAATCGATTAGTATCATTTCATTATTGGTAAAATTCACAATCGGATTTCAAAAAATCTTTGACAGGCGATGGTCACATGAAACAAATGCCGAATTAAAATTTTATTTTAAGACGAGGAATAAACGAGATATATATATATATATACTAACTACGAAGTTATTTTTGTACTAATAGTAAAGAATGCTAAAAGTATTCTAGATAAATTAAAAGCCATGTCGGTAAAATAATAACTTAAAAACATTTTCGATCTATAGCGGATGTCTTTTCAGTTAATGGACCCTTTAACGATTTAAAGTAGATGAAAGAAAGTTATTTTCTTACGATCATGGTTAGATACAGTACCTCAAGCTACATCGAAGAAATCATGTTTTCAATTTAATCTTAAAAAAGTTTCATGAAAGTTTAACATTTTTCGGTCTACTGTCTTTCTATTTACAGATGAGATGGCCTGGAAATTTTTTCATTCTTCTAATTTACTAATATGATTTTTCTTATCTAACTTGACAGATTCCTTTCAGTTGTGGTGAAAAAAAGCTTTCAAATATTTATTCTACATCGATCTTTGCATAGGATAATGACGGTCGAAACATCCACTCAAAAAATTAACGCGACATACGCCATTTTGTTTGTCCTTAATATATCAAAGTAGAAAATGTTGAGCCCCGCAGAGTCAATTCTTCTGGTAACCTTGTAAAACTTGCGTCGATTATCAAATTGCAAGAAAAATTACCGCTTTAGAAAATAATTAAAGGATGGATGTCTTTGTGTTTGACATCTACAAATCAATTCAGCATGCAACGGAATTTCAGTGTGAACATATATTTCAAATAAAAATGTACAGAAAAGTTTTTGTATACTATTGATTAATTACCAATATAAAAAAAAAGACATTGAACGATTTTAGAAATCAGAAGACGAAGATGGAAACGGTCGATGACTGCCAAATGTTATAAATAATCGCCGTAAGAAGAGAAATAAAAATATTATACAACAAAACCATATCAAAGTGTTGAAGAAATCACGGTGTGAACTATTCTGATTTAATACTAATACTTGATTTGGCGGTGCATGAGAACGCGATTCACTCGGATTTAATGTTGACTGAACTATTGGTGCATTTTTCGATGTTGTGTCATAATTCTAGAAAATCAAAACACAAGCAAATAGTAATTTGAAAACAATTTCTTTGCTTTGCTTTTAATATCATTATTGATATTTGTGAAATACAAACCTTCATATGTATTTGATTTGCCAATGATTTCGCTTGTCTTTGAATATCAATTGATTTTTCCGATAAGGGTAACAGTAATTGACTATTAGCAACACCACATGTTGGACACGCATATGATTGCGATCTATTTTTACAAAAAACTGTTATTGTTTTGTTTCTTTCTCTCTCTCTCTCTCCTTCGCTTTTACCTTTCTGCTAAAGCCCGTCTTTCGTCAGGTGTATAATCAAGAGAGCCTATGGCACCTTCTCCAGGCGTTTCCATGAAACCAATTATTGCTAGTAAAGCTGTTCTCACACCCCAAGTAGGTGTCCAGGTTTCAGCATGATGTGCAGATATTGATAAACAGATCTTTTCATTGACTTTAAAACGACCACTGGTCTAGAAAAAATTTTTTTTTTTCTAAATGATCTGCATGACCTTAAGTGAGATTATTCGTTATGTGACCGACCGTTAGTAAAACAATTGATGGTGGTTTCATTGGATATTCAACTGGAAACAAAATTCGCCCATGATAAATGCCATGTTCGAATTCAGTACTTTTTGGGCCACGTATTGTGAAATGCCATTCAAATAAATTATTCTATTAAAAATTTTTAATAATTAGAATAAATTCTTTGCATGGACTTACTTCAACTGGTTGACAATAGAATAATTCATTTGGATCCTTTAATTCAATGGCTTCACGCATTAATCGTTTCACTGCTGAACACAAAAAAAAATGAATTCATTAATTGAAATAGAGAAGAGAAAAGCAAAATTTCCAAACATACCACTACTTTGTGCATTGTAGCTTGATGTAGAAGCTTTTTCGAATGAAATAGACATTAGCGTTACTGTTATGATTAAAAAAAAATCTAGAAAATAAAAAATTTCATGTTTTATTATATCTTTTTTAAAATAAAGAAAAAAATGATTAAATTTGTTTGGCTGTTAGTTTATTTCATTCCACTTCAGCGTTTGATAATGAACTTGTTGCTGTTGCTGAAAGGAACACCTATTTGTATTATTGCTATTGAATAAATTATTACTATTAATTGTAGATATTTCCGTAGAAAAAAATGATGGTTGTTCATCGGTGGGAGAATCCGATCCAGATACTGTTGATCCACCGAAGATATTTGCAGTTGTATCATGCTAAATGAAATGAAATGAAAACAATTATCATTCTTTGGCACTAGGGGTGTCAATTTACAGCTTATTTAATTTAAATTTAACTTCGCGAAAAGTTAATTTAATTTAAAATAAATTAAAATTTTTCTCATACAAAAATTTAAATTTTCAGAATTTAAATTAAATTTTTTTAAAGTGTAAATTTAATAAATTGTTTGCATGGATACCCATCATTTCTATTAGGAAAATACGTGACTTGAACAGTAGTAAATACCAAATGAGAGGAGCACCTAATATTTCAGGCTAATATTTGTTCATAATAGTCAAAATTTCTCTACAGATTATGCAGGATCCGTCATCTTTCTTCTTCAAAATATCGGGATACTCATAAAAATATATTTAATAGAAAAATTCGTAGAAGAATGACTAGCTTTAACTTTAGAAAAAAGGAAACGTACTCAAATTTGACTTTAAATAGTAGCAATCAAGTCAAAAACTATGCTTATCTACTAGTTTTCAAAGTTCAACTAATTTGAATTTCAAAAAATTTTATTTAAATTTAAATAATACAAAATTTTAAATTTAATTAAATAAAAATTTCTTGATTTTAAAAAATTTTGGAATATTTATTTCTCGATTTAATAAATTTTTCTAAATTAAAATGTGAAGCCCCGATTTGGCACCTCGTTTTTTTATGATATCCATCATCCCATGGTTGAAAATATTTTCTTAACTGAGGTCATATTGTAAAAGTGTTGAAGAAGATAGACTGACTAATAGTTTGCTTTTGTTTGAAAGAGCTCCGATACCCATTGTTTTTTTCCATTACAATATAAAAGTGTACTCATATGAATAGAAAAAAATATTCTTTTCAGATCAGCAAGATTAATTAATAGAAATAGAGACGAGGGAACTCAAGCAGCGCAGCTGGGACTAAGAAACTAATTCAAAGTAATTATAAAAATTCATGACTTATGATAAATTTGATTCATACTCAATGATCTTTCAACTTACTTGATTAATATGTGTCAATGTCCAATTATCTGACATATTATTAATTGTAACCATTGGTTCATCGTTGGAAATCGGCGATTGTTGAATTTTATTATTTTCCGATTGATTTTTTAGTAACGATCGATGACGAAAATTGCGATGTTTTTGCAATGATGAATTACAAGTAAAATAAGCTGAACATGTATTACAAAAGAAATTTGTTTGTATTTGATGTAATTTTTTTTCATGCATCTTTAAATTATGTTTTAATGAAAAATACTCATGACAAAGTTTGCATTGATATAAATGATTATTTAATGTATGGATTTTTTTCTCGTTTTCATGTTTAGTACGTTGATGACGTTCCAATGATGATATTTGGCTAAATTGTTGACCACATTCGGCGCAAAGACATGGTTTTTCACCTGTATGAATAAGAATGTGTCGAGATAAATGACTTGGAGAAGAAAATAATTTTGAACAATGTGAACAGGAATATGAATGTTGCTTATCACCTGATTGACAAGTCAACGATGATGAAGATAACTGTGAGAGACATGATTTTTTTACAAATATTGTTCGAATCTGTTCGTTTATAGGCATGAAACAGAAGCTTTATATTTGAAAAAAACTGACGTGGTGACAGCTTGATCGTGCGTTGCATGTGATTCTGTTACAGATTCCTGACCAATAAAAATCAAGTCTTTCCATAGAGGTCAGTCTAGAACAAAGATTTTCTGCGATGAAAAATTCAATATTGAAACTTCAACCCAATGAATTATTTACATCTTCAATCATGACTTTTGTGGAACTCACATTTATTTTCGAAGAAAATGGTGAGTGTAAGTTTAAAAGCGAGATTTTGCGGCTTCCCACCCCTCTCCCCTCCGCATTACAGACATTAATGAGTTAAAAATTGTGCAAATGAGGAGCTTGACTAATTAGTCTGGTATTTCTTCCTTTTTTAATTACAGACTACACGAAAAACCAATGCTTGCCCATTACAGACCATAGAAACTAGTCTCTGCCATTGTCAAATACACGAGCTAACAATTAATATTCCATTACAGACATAAGTAAATAGGCAACGACCTAATTATAGGTTTTGGAAATCAGGGTAGATTTTTCAGATAAACTATTTTGAATTATTTTAGTAAGTCTAAGGGATATATGTGAGTTCCACATTTTAGCCCCAATGGGGATGCGCTAACAAGCTTTTTTAGTAAGATCGCTATAATTAATAAAGGCACTTGACTGAGAATAAAGTTTTTAACAAATTATTTGTGTCTGTGGAAATAGATGCTATGATAAGATTTATTTATATGTTATATTCTTTCGTTGTTTCTCTCATATGTCGGACAGAAATAATTTGCTGTTTGATGTGTTAATAATAGTAATAGTAGTGTTCAGCGCCGCTTTTTTTCCCATGAAAATGTAAATATATGTAATGGAAAAAGTAATCGATAGGAGACAAAACTCAGTGAACAAATAAAAAACAAGCTAATTTCTGTAACTGTAAGAGTTATTAATAAAGATTCCAAATAGGAGGAAAAGCTTGTCACTGAAATTCTCTCAACCTCTAAAAGTTGACATGGCATGCATGCTATTCGTAGTATCTAAAAGGATGAGATTAGTCAATATAAGGAGAGTGAGTGAAAGAGAGAGAGAGAGAGAGAGAGAGAGAGAGAGAGAAACTGTCTATATTATATATTAGACTTTATTCTATTTCGTGCTTTTCTACAACAGTACATCGATCATTCAGCATAGAGAAGATTAATATGGAGCCATCCAGTGAAATGCTTGGTATGTAATTAAAGTAACAGACTGTTCTAAGAAAGAATTTATCTTATTTTAAAATTACAATTAAAATATTGTTCATAATTTGAAATCTAAAGTACAGTCGTCTTTCTATTTTTTTTCTTCTCATTGTTTCATTGAATGAAAAGAAAACAGTGAAAAAATTTCATTGAAGTTACAATTATGTTATACATTTTTAAAATACTTTCGTAAGGTTTATTGATTGACTAAAGCACTACTACGACGTAGTAAAAGTGAATATTTGAACTTTTGCCGTCAACAAGGATAATTTGCTTACTGAGCTTGACATTCTCTTCTTTTTCTATTAAAAGAATACACTTTCATGTTCAGCAAGTGAGCAAAATGAGCATCAATATTTAGTACGATGCATTTAGAAATATCTCTAAGTGGTAGAATAATATGATGTTGTCTTGGTTGACAACAAAAACATGCAATTAGATGTATTGTTCATCGCTCAATAAATAAGCATAAACAAGTGATATGGGTCTCTTCAAAGTAGTTTAGATGAAGAAAAAAACAAATTTTTGTTTTGCATGTTTATATTGATTAGGTCTCGTCAAAGCTTGGCCATTATTAGTGGTTGGTTTAAGTTGTATTGCATTGGTGTCCGTTGTAACAATTACAATGTACATTAAATACGTCATATTGAATAGAAATCATTATCGTAAGTTTTTTCATACATTTTCATTTTGACATTTTATGTTTATCTCTTTAGATGTGTCAAACGAAGATAATCAATACATATAAGATGGATAATAAACTTCTATTTAGTTACCTTACAACGAACCAGTACCCATGCCTTCTATGTAATCTATTGTGTGTTAATACAGACTTAAATCAAGCCTTATAACCTCTGACTATAATCTCAATCGATTTTCTTTGATACATATAATCATATAATTTTCATTTAGTCGTTTCAATAAACGTTGAGTCTTTTGTTTTTTTCGGCATTTTATATTTTTCTAATCGTAAACATGGATTATATCATAGAAAAAATCTAACAATATATTCCATGTGGTCGGGTGGTGGAGAAAAGTACAACAGTTGTAACAAAACGATCATTAGTAATGGAAATATACGTTGAAATAATCTTTTAAATAGTCTGTGAAACACAGCCCTAATGATCAGCATTAATATGGTATAAGTACTCGATTTGCCAGAGGTTTACGATACAGTAATAATATTTACTAATACTTTCTAGACTTATTTCATCAAATTTGGCGACATCTTTTTCTGTTTTACTAAATCAAATTTTTCTATAAAAGAATACATTGTTTGATTACAATGTTCATCACACAAAGAATTTAACAATTTGTTTCAACAATATTCATCGGGACTGTCTCATTGAGTCATCCATTTTATAGGTTTACTAATAATTCTATTAATCATCATCATCAACCTTCTTTCGTTTCGATTTTTACCGCGTCGGATGTAAATATGCGTGAAGAGGAAATATCAAGTGTATGCCATTAATATTTTAGAAACAAGGATAATAAACTATGCTTGTTTCCTTTTTTTCGCGAAGATCAAATGATTTTATCAGGAATAAAAAGCTGAGATTCAAAGAATTAATAAATGCTCGAACCATCGATTATTTTAGTTTCGAACACTTAGCATACAAATTTACTTCAGTATTTGCTTGTAGCGAAAATCAGCGGGATTTTTGTGTAGTTTTAAGAATGAGTAAAACAAAGACACACGTCTTTTCGCTTGGTTTTTTCCAATTCACATTTAGTCGTTCTGTACTTTTTTCCCCACTAGACGAAACAAGTACATAACTTATTTTTACAGTAGAATGTAGACCATGTCTGGATTCTTTGATTTCAAGTAGGTATGTTATGTGCAGTGGCTAAGGTTTTCTTCATAAAAAGTTTATTGAGAAACTCCGAGAGGATGAATCATTCTATGGTTGTTAGTAATCCTATAGCGGTCATTTTTTTTGGAAGTAGCATCGATAAAAATCAAAGTCTAAAAACTGTCGTGTTGGCTCGAATAATTCAATATTTTTACAATCGCTGGCCCATATTTATCTTGTAACGCTATCATTCAAAGATTTTGTTTGGCTAACTATGAATCCATACATGAATTCAGAAAAATCTACTCAATAGATTTTAGATCTATACGAAATTATTCAATTTGTTGCTGAAGACAATGGCTGAGAATAGTCATTTGAAACGCTTAAAAACTCTTATATTGGGACCTCAATGGTTAACCGAAATAAAAAATTCTGCAATTAAAGTGTTCTCAAATTTTGAAGAATTGTTAGATAATGTATCTCAAGCAAGTAATAATGACGATTCTTTTCGATTGTTTGTTCCCAGTCAATATCTTAAAGAACTGATCGATAAGAATGTTCATAAGTTAATACACGTCGATTCTATCAATATTTATTATAATTCTGAAGTTGAATATCAATTGCATATTGAGTCTTATCAAAGTATCAGTAGCAAATTAAATTTTCTTGCAACAACAGATTTGATGGCACGAGTTCTAGCCACAATCCATCCCTATTTTAATGACCAAGTAGGTCCTGATAATCAATCGGTTTCAAAACCTACTGTTGTGAGACGAAGAAAAAAAAAGAAGAAAAGCAAACGAGTTGTTGTCTCGAATACAATTTCTTTCGACATGAAATGCCACAAATGTTTATCAGTATTCGATGATCCTTTTCAACTTGCCTGTGGGCATCGGCAATGTAAATCTTGTATTGATAAACAAGAAGGGTAATTATTAACTTCTATTTTTCTCTTTAGTTCAAGATTGTTTCTTAATTTTTCTAATTCAATGTAGTACTAGCATCAAATGTGCCGAATGTGAAGAAAAAACTCCACGAGAAGAAGTATAAAGTTTTCAAGAAAAACAAAACATTTCTTGTTAAATTTAAATACACTTCTTAGGTATGGTTTGATCGTGGCTTCAAGAAACAGCTAGATCAATTAATATCAACTAGTTGACAATTTCTCATGCATCTACCAAAACAACAATACAATCTTATTTGACGCGGCGTAACATCAGTCTCAACGTATATAAATATACTGTGAAATGTGTGGTCAACGTTTTAGTTTTATCCGTGATTAGGTTTTGTTTTTGTTTGTGTAAATTTATCTTCAATCTTGATATTTTTTGTTTACAACATACGGAAACAAAGTAGTCGATCTATATTGAAATCAAAAAATGAAATAACTATAAAAACAGAATGATTTGATTAATCATCTCTGAAACATGAGTATTACCAGATTTTTCATTCTCGGGAACACGCGTCCTCTGCTGACATAAAATGAGTCATGCATTATTGAAATAAATACTTCAAGGGAAATTGGTAATCATCTTCGAAACGATGCGTTTCAGTAAAAACTACAGCTCTATACTGGTTCTGCGAATTTTTTCTTGCTTTCAAATTTATATTTGAGCGAGAGTAGAAAAAAAGCACCTATGAAAAAAGTCATATTGATTTTCGTGTTAATTGAAATATGTTCTATTGCTGCCATTTTTGATACTCTTCTTCGTATATTCAAGTCACCAACGAAACCAAAATCGGAGCCTTTCATTTGTGCTTTCAATACAATAAACGTGGAAGCCTGTTTGACTTGTTGCACAGTGAGACCATCCGAGGATTATTCTCTCGAACCGGGATCCATTTGTAATGAAAAATGTTATCGTCAATTTGGCTATACAAAATAGAGGAAAAACTCTTTTGTCAAGCTATGTTCAGGTTTCCTTTGCACGTTTCATTTTCAATGAAAATTTGAAATAAAGCCCTCTTTACGTGATCTTATTTTGTTGTCGACTAATAAGATTTCTTCGAAAATATCCGATGGCTTTTTAAAGCTCTGTAGCATTTGTCTAATTAGATGAAAATTTTTTGTATTAATTTATTAGAAGAACCAAGCGTGAACGCTCGACCTAGAGAAAAAAATGAACCACTTGCTAGCTGCAGCGCTACCTGTTTGCAATGACAGAGCCTCAACCAGAGACTTCCTACTTTGTGATCAAGGAAGTTCTTGTAGTTGGTAAGTAGTCTTTGCAGTGGCAGAAGCGTTATGTTTTATTCTTTTGCAAACAGTAAAATTTGCGCACTAGCGTTCTTCTTGCCGTGGTGAGTCACCATTATTTCATCACTTCACTCGTGTTCTCAATACCTGTAATAAATTGATTGCGCAATAAATGGCACACAAAATTTAGTAAGATTCAGAAAATTTCAAAACAAAGAGTACCATACACTTTTACTTGATTTTGTGCCTACAAAACGATGGTTGTACCATGGTGGATGCTATACTTACCTCCACGGAAGTTCTCTGAAAAAGGAGTGAATTCCTGATAGAAGCTCTGCTATTGCACATGAAGAGCGATGACATCAGTACGAGTGGAAAATATTTTTCACACTGGACTGAGCATTCGCGCTAGATCCATCTCTATAATATACATATATATATTGAATAAAAGGTGTTTCCCGCTTCGGGTGTACTCATGAACAATCTTTTACATTCGAAAATATGTCTCATATAGTAAAAAACGGTAGATGCATCTATTGTATTTAACTGTTTTCATAGGTGTTTATAGAACGCCTCCGGAGAAGCAGCAAAAATTTCGGCATAGCCGAGGATCTGGATTTAAGTTTCCAATCAGCAATAACATCTCCTCGCAATAACGCTCCTTGGAGAATGTAATACCACTGCGCAAGAACTATGTTGTAGGCATGTTTGCAAGTTGGTTTTATATGCAGCTAGATGCAAAATACCACTGGTGAATGAATGAATGCGCAAGGTTCTTACATCATAACGTGTCAAGATATTGTTGTTGTATAAGAAAGGAAACTCAAGCTTGATTTTTTGCAAGATAAAAATAGTATATAAAAATTTGGAACTGATAAAATCTCTTTATATCGGTTTGACGTAATAGATTCTATAAGAATCAACTACTTTAGTTGAAATAGTGCTCTTGGAAGATAACTTTTCGTGTTCATATTCATTATTTAAGCAAAGACTTTTTTCTTTGGATGACGCGATTTTACAATCACTTATATATATATATATAGCTTTAAAAAAATGAATAACAATAATATTTGTATCGGGAGCCCGGAATTTCGGCCCAAGGAATTTTCGGGCCGGACGATCGGCCTCAAATGAAATTTTTTTTATCATGAAACTGGGCCATCCTTATCCTCATCTTCATTTCCTACTGGGCCGAAAGTCCGGCCCGAAAATTCCTTGGGCCGAAATTCCCGGCTCCCGTCCGTTTCAGTACGATCGTATGATACCATACGAGGGAAAGAGTATAAAGAGAGTGATACATTTTCACGAAATACATCTAATTAACGAAGAAATGACGTATCAACTGACGTTAATTCTGTGGCATTTCAAACACTCGTATTTGAGTGATCCAGTTTTCTGCCATATTTTCATGAAATAATTCATGAAATACCCATAGAAGAGTATACCACATATGATGACAATATTGGCGTCCATAACTCTATAAATGTAAAGAATATATTAACATATTATTAGATGAAAGTTAGATCATCAACTAAAGAGCAAAGATTTCCTTTTTGCTTTGTATAATTTAATTTGAAATAAAATGGAAGAAAATACAATAATGACTTACAAAAGGATCGGGATTCATGAGTGGTGTGAATATCACATAGGCGTCATTATAACAACCAATGTTGCACCAACAATTTCTCTTGGATGAAAGCGATTTCCGCTATGTATATATTGAGTCATCTCGGTGTACTGAGGACAATTAGTGGGGCTGAAAACGAAATGAACATCAACATGACGATGATCAGTAAAAACATATTGACGCACTAATACGATTTATTTCGTTGATATTAATAAAAATAGGTAAATTAGCACGTCGAAGAGCAGGTACTACATTCGAAGACATCAGCATTTCGAAATATGTCCATTCAATTCGTAATCGTGAATAAAATTTTTGAAAAAAAGTGAATGTATGTAAATTACCCATTGGAAGCAAAGAATTAAATGAAGGCATAGCACAATGCTTACGATCACGATCATTAGCTATTGCAACGTGTAACTTGCGTAATGTATTGGAAAGTTGCGGTGCTTCCACAATACGAATTAAATCATTCATGGAAACCAAGGAAACATGGCATTTGTTCGATTACATATATGTACGTCGTAACTCACTTTCCTACTTCAATAAATATTCCACATGTGCTTCTTTCGCTTTCATGCATTTGATTGAGTCTATTATCTCTGATTCACATGTTAATTAATAATTCAACTGTTTGAATTTTTCTAAAAGTTTTTCAAAATTTACATTTTTTACTTCGCAAGTTGATGATTAAAACTTGTCTACTTTCACCTATACTCGTAACTTTATCTAAATACAAATGTTTCCAAGGACTGTTTAAGATTGTGAATTCGAAATCCTAGGAAGCACTAAAGTAAGACAATATAAAAAAGACAAGAAATGATTTGCACACGACTCACTACGTCGACAGCTTCCATTTTAATATCTTCAAATCGATAACAAATATGCCATACAAATTGCATCTCGCTGTACACAGTGTCGACTAGGTCAAATCTATTTTTCTTTTCTAATGTAGGCTTACCTCGTGGTGTCATGGACAACAATCTTTGGTGTATATACTTTATCATCACTATCAGAGCAGTTTTATTTCTTTTGCCAACAAAGCAATAAAGTGAATTCTTTCTATCTCATATCATGCACGCAAATGTTCTAGCAGCTTATAAAACAATGTAAACGAAGTTCAAGCGTCAAACTTGCTGCTCATTTTAAGAATATTTTTAGATCTCTATTTAGATTTTATCAAGATTTAAATCCAAGAAAAACCATACTAATATATTGCGATGAGTCACATCGACCACATAGTTATAAACACCAGTGACCGAATTGATCAAGTATTAGCCTGTTTTGAGAGTATGGGCTTTACAGTTACGCCACGTGGCTATCACTCGTCGGGTACTATCAATCATACTATCGTTTTCAATGATAACTATCTAGAATTATTGGGATATCCCACGGGCAAGTTGCCAGAACATTCATCAGAGTTAATCCGGCGGCCGATCGGATTGGTTGCCACCGTTCTCAAAACTGATGACGCCGAGCAGATGCAAAATTCGCTCATGCTACACGGCTTCAACATGTCACCAGTTTTAAATTTGTCACGACCGTTAGATTTGGGAAATGGCGAAAGCATGGATGTAAAGTTTCGCGTGACCACGCTGGAATGTGAGGTGACCCCAGGCACTTTTCTATACTACTGTCAGCATTTGACACCTGAACTAGTTTGGCGTTCTCAATGGCAGACGCACGCGAATGGTTGTGTCACCATGGTCCGGCTTATCATCAACGTGAACGATCTGAAGGCAGCAGTTGAGACATACCAACGTGCGGTCGACATCAGTGAAGTGAAGAGCATCGACAAAAATCGTTGCATCATCCGTTTATTTAACTTCGAAATAATATTGACCACTGACGTGAACAATCCATGGGGCACGCAGACACTGGTGTTAGGCACTGATTCTCTTGAAAAGGTTGAGGCCATATTTCTACAGAGTGGAATAAACTATCTGAAGGAAGATCAACGCATATTCGCTGATACAAGGGCATGCATCGGCTGTGCCATAGAATTTGAGTCTATTGACTAATCTTATATCAACCGTTGCTTAACAAACTTCTTCGTGCAATTCATGATCGGAAATGCATAATTGACTTTCTGCTACTTTCGAGATTTTAGCTTTATGTAACCCTAGTTAAACTGAAAGACTACTTGCTTACCAACAACGATAAACAAACGCATACAAATCTAAGGGTGAACGTGGAATCTGAGTTGGCACTGTAATTGCAGGTGGAAGGATGACTAACGTCATCCAGACAACCTTAATTAAAAAAGGCCAAGTGCTGATATTCTGTGACTGTCAAGGTGGCAGTCGAATATCAAAGAAATAATTAAGCTATAAGTAACATAAGCACCTTACAACAGCTTCATGGAAGTTGAATATTGTGGTCACTTAATGGCTAGATAATAAATATAGTTCTATGCTATACTACTGTAATATCTATTATATCTTTTACAGTAATAAATGTAAACACATACAGAAGAAAGTAGATATTCCTAAAAACTGCCACTTTTCAAGTAAGAAGCGGGTGAAAGTTCGTCAGAAGTATTTCGATAGAGTCGTCGGTCGATCCTCAAACACGTAACTTAAATTCACGCAGTTTCTCGTATATTGGCATGCTTTTTTCGATCACTTCCTGTACGTCGTCGGGTAAAATAAGTTCATCATTATTATCTGTCGCTCGTTGACACTGATTGAAACCTGTGCTATACTGAGCCATATCGTGCCAGCCTGACCATTTATCGAATGCCTCAACCCGTTCCGCTTTCCATTCAAGCATCTGTGCTTCGAATCGATCACCAATGCCTGATTCGCAGTACATTCGCATGATAGCTTCAGGTTTTTCGACAAGGTCACCTGCTTCAACCAGGGCTGGAGGTGTACCGGTGAGCTCAGTGAGAAATTCGAATAAAGCCTGTAGTTCTGGATATCCGATGTCGTCATGAATGAATTTCAGGTTGTTTCGAACATACGCACGGTACAAAGAAGGCACAGACTTTCTTGGTGTGCGAAGGATAAATGTATGCTTGCATCGTTTCAAAAACTCAATTGGAAGTACAGTTGGATTTTCTCGATGTGATTTGTAATCGGGGCGAACAACATGACGTGCCATATCTTTGACAAAGACGTTCTTCTTTTCCTCGCTTGTTGTAGGCTTGAGTATCTGTTCGATCATTTGAGAAAAGGTTACATTCAGATACTCGGCATGTTCGCTCAATTCATTGTCATAATAGCTGTAGATACGTTCGGGACCAAAGTAGGATGGTTCTCCGAAAGGTTCATGAAAAGTGACGTAGTCTTCTCGTTGAATAAAAGCTCGCTCGAACGCAGTTGAAACTGAACGCACATGGGACCAAAGAAAGACAATCTTTGGTGTTTCCATTTTGAAAAGACTAGAATACAAGGCAAAATAAGAATGATGCGGCAATCGAGTGAAGGAATGATAAAAGATAAGTCATAGAATCGAAATATCGCACGACCCGAATGGACTTTTCTTTTTTTTTCTCTTTCTTATCTATTCGATAAATAACGAATAGCCCGCTTAGCGGTGCAGTTTTCTTAGTATCTGATGATCTGCTACTCACTTATTTTTAAACATAAACACATTTTAGATAGTCGACGAAAGCGTAGCAAAATTTCATTAGTTATCATTTCTCTAAAGTACTGGAGATCTATTTTCACCGTCTTTCAATAAGCGAATTTTTGCAAGGATTTTAATCACGAATCATGCAATAAACATCATACAGATTTCGTACAATACGTAGTCACTTTAGTGTGCATGATAAATTCAAAACTAGGAAGAAAAAGCGTTTGTCTTTGATTTGACTGGATTCGTGATTGATGATGATTTGTTTGAAGAAGGATAAAAGATGTTGTACAAATAATCAGAATCTACGAGGAATTTACTACCGAGTGAAGTTATATATTTAAGAACATTTCCCTTTGACCTCGTTAAATCATTGAAAACATATTTATCACAATATCAATCAATGTCTGACAAAAAGACGCACTTTTTATTTCTAATATTTTTGATTAGATGAATATATGGTAGTCAATTACAGTACTATGATCAAGTAGCTGTTTTAGAATGTATAATTGTTAGTGAGTGATATAAGAAGCCTCAGAAATATTAGTTTCAATAGGCTCACAGGTGTACATTGAATGTAAAATAAAATGTTGATAGAAATAGAAAACACGTGCAAATGCAACAGGTAGTCGAACTTTAATTCGTATGGAAACAAAAGTAAATTCATTGAAAAACATTTTCCTTTTATTTATCTAGAATGACCATGAGAAATACTATTTTTGTTGAACACATTTGAAGAACACATTGATTTTTTCTAAACTTTCTTATAAATGTTTTCTACAGCACATTTTTAAGTTCAATATCAAAGACAAGTGTTGAATTGGCTGGAATATCAGGTAATTTTTGACTGCCATAAGCTAATGATGGTGGTATTGTTAAGCGTCGTTTACCACCAACATGCATGCCTACAATAAATTTTAAAAAGCTCATCATTTTAAAATGCTATTTTTACCTTTTACACCTTGATCCCAACCACGAATGACTTCACCGGCGCCAAGACGAAATCGAAATCTAGGGGGAAAATCAAAAAATTTGAATTTTTACAATACAAGAAACATACGGTTTTCCTTTAGTGCATGAATCGAATACTTTATTATTGCTTTTAAGTCGACCAGTATAGAAAACAGCGACCTAAAATAGGTAAAAATAAAGAATACAAATCATTGATTTTACCAAGGGGGAACAAGCTGACTTCTTGATTTCTTATGATTTTCAGTGATTTCTAGTGACTTCCACTGATTTCTATGCCTAGGAATCAGTTTGTTTCCCCTTGGATTTTACTATTTACTTACATTTTTTCCGAATTTAGCTTCGGGACCATTACCAACTCGTATATCATTGATTTCTAATGAATTCGATTTCTTCTCGTCAACATTTGTGCTACTTGCTTGTTTATCATTGGATGATGTGGTCGCTGTTGCTTCGGTCTAAATAATTAATACATCAATGTATTTTATTTATTCTTTGATTGCAACCTACTTTTTTTCCTTTTTTAGATTCCTTATTTGCTGTTGTTGTTGATGGTGTAGGTTCTTCTTTATTTTTTTTACTCTTTTTAAGTTTTTTACTTTCTGGTTCCTAAAAACATAATATATATATATATGTATATGCATATTCAAAAAGTTGGCTACTCTTGATTCTTACTTTTTTTTTTGAATGACCATTAGCTTCGGCATGTGGACGCTTTTTTCCTTGAAAGAAAAAGCGAAGTTTAAACATAAAAAAATCTAAAATGAATAGTTTTACCTTTCTTTGTAGCTGCCGCAACTTTTTCTTCATCATCGCTATCTGAATCTGATGATGACGATGTTCCAGAACTTATGTCATCTTCACCTTCAAGATATCCATCTTCATAATCACCCTGTAAATCTTGATCCTTAAAAAACAAATAGTTTATGAAATCAAATTAATATCTTTGTCTTTGATTAATTTACTTCATCATCATTTAATCGATGACGATGAGTTAAATGAAAATCTTCAGGATTGTCACTGTCGTCACTGTCGTCATCATCATCATCATCATCATCGTCATCCTCATCGTCCTCATCATCGCTAGTTGAATCAGCCTCTGCTTCGAAGAAATCCTGACTAGTACCAACTGGTAAATGACTCTCATGGCATACTAAAACAAATTCATTTGATATTCATTTGATAAAAAAATAACTTCTTTACTTTCTTGTGGTTCAGGTTGAAGGACATAACCGGTTAAATGTATTTTATCTAGAAAAGAAAACAAAAATCACAACAATGAGATTCTTTAATTAGACTTGAAAATTTACGTGGTCCTTTAACACCGAATGTTAGAGTTTGTCCATCGTAGAATTCAATATCCAATGGTTGCTGAAGGCATGATGGATAATGTAAGTTGCATAGAATTAAATCAGTTGGTGGTCCCTTATCAGCTGTACTTGATTTCAATGTCACACGGGTAATTCCACTTGATGCTGTATCACGGCCTTCTGAAGAAGCTAAAAATTAAATGATAACTGTAAGAAGGAAAAAGTTTCTCGGTTGTTTCTTTTTCTTACCATCATCGATTTCAAGTGCAGCCATGGTTAAACGAAATGGATGATCAGTTACTACTTCTGATACTTTGTTTGGGCCAATAGTAAGACCTAGACAGAGAAAAAATCGTCAATACGTTCATCACGCAATATAATTTCTATCATATTCGAAATAAATTAATCTACTCATAGAACCAGTACTGCCGTAAAAGGACTGCCCGTAACTCGTTCTTTCAACATTATGCACATGCATTCATATCAAGCCAGTTCATACTTTTAACTCTACCAAAACATTTTTGTCTTACCCCAAATTCCTTCTGAAATTTCTTTGAGTAGAACCATTTTATTGACTTTAATCTGCAATAAACAAGAAAATATCCTTATTTTTCTTTTTTATACACAAAGTATTGATTTTCTTTTATTCCAATCATTTTCATACGTATAACAAGCTATGAACAATATACAAAAGAGAAAAAATAAAGAAACAAGAAAATAGTTCAACTAATCCTTCATCTAGAAGAATAACAATATATATCATATGCATATAAAGAAACAAAATAGAGAAGGAGAGAGAGAATGGGAGAAAAATATCATAAGCAATCATTCACCGAATTCAATCAATTTTTTTTCCAAATAATCAGTTAAAATAGCTTTTGTCATTTTAACTCGATTGATTTTGAGATATTGTTTATTTCGTAATTTCAATTTTAGGAAATAACCAGGTGCACATTCTTCCATAGATTTCAAAATAAAATCTATCATTTCCAATGCTTGATCTATAAGACAAAGGAAAAATATTAGATGAAAAAGAAAAAAAAAATCACTTTTCGAAAAGTTAAATATACCTTGATTATATCGAGCTGAATGTAATTCACTTAGTTTTTGATTGACTCGATCACATTCTAAAGCAACTTGACGTTCTGTTGTAAACAATTGATCTATAATATCCATAGATTCTCGCATATGATTAAACATATCATATGTTTTTGAACGTTGTTCTTCTTTTTTAACAATTCCAGTATTTTCAAGAGAAATCAATTGAGCTCGAGATTCTTCTTTCAAACGTATTTGTTCCAGTAAACGTTCATTAATACCAACGATTCGTTTCGATGGTGTTGCCGGTAAACTTTCGAGAATCGATTGATCCACTTTTGATAAAACTTTTTTTAACTAAATTGAAATAAAACAACAATCTAACAATTCGAGTGAAGATTTTTGTACTTACTCGTTCACTTTCTGTTATTTGAACACATCGACGAATGTCAGCAGGTGAAGCAATTTTTTTGTTTGGCGTCGATCCTGATTCATTTACAATAGGCTTTTCAACCAGAAGATGAGCAAAACGTTCATGAGCTGGAACTAATTTCTTTCTAAACAGGTACGAAAATGATATTCAAATATTATTGTTTTCAACTAGATGACTATATGATAGAAATTAATTCCAAACAAAGTGTTTTTAAAAATTAGATCCTATAAAATAAAGAGGAATCAATGTCACGGAAAGTTAGAAATGATCTTCAATAACTCTTTCCTTGAAAATGAACTACTCATTCTTTCTAAAGATACTACCTCTGTAACAGATGCGTTCCGATCTAAATTACAATAGTCGTTGAAATAATATCTTACTGAATTTTATCTTCACTTTCTCTTGGTTGTGTCGCAGTTTGTTGACACTGTTTAACCTCTTCAATATGACTGCGAACAACTTTAAGATGTTTACGTATCTCATTCATGTCGGCCAGCTTTATTAAATGTTGTTTTTGACGTTCGAACGTTTTAACTTTAATCTGATCTTCACCAACATCATTTTTATTTTTTCTTGATAATGGTACTAAACAAAGCGAAATAATGAATATTTTACTATTGAAAATTTATTCATCTTCGGATTCACGTACATTTATCAATCTGATCTAAATCACATCCTTGTAAATAACCAGCTGTTGGTTGTGATGGACCTTAAAATAAAAGATTCGCTCAATAATGGACGCGTAATACTCTTTTTTTTCTTAATTACTAATTCGACGTTTTTTATTTGAATTAGTAGAAAATGTACAAACATTCTCGTCGTTTTCATCATCAAATTTCAATTTTCGTTTTTGCGATTTTAATGGTTCACCATTAGCGAGAATTGTTGAAGAACGTCTTGATCGTTTTGGTGTAAAATATTGGGTTAAACAAGCTTGGGCCATTCCTTTTTTCGTTCAACAAAGATGGAATGAACTGTTCAGAAGAATATGGATGAACGACTACAAAGCCATCGATTATGATTGATCGAATTAAGTCACCAATTAAATTACGTCGTTTGAAAACAAAAATCGTCAATTTGTTCGTGAGTCAGTATGAGAAAACAAAATTTACAAATCAAATTCTCAAGTAAATAGATAAAGTTTGCTTTTGCCTCAAAATTGAAGGACAAAAAGTCAAATACTATGGCGCTTGTTGTGGCAACTTTTGTGACCAATCACCTTCCTATTGGTAGCATATGGTTGAAGTTATAATTACAATAACACGATTTATATGCACGAATGCACTCAAAATTAAACTCAATTATTAACATTTATATTCATAACACGTATAGTTTATCACTAATTGAAAATATTTATCGTATAAAATTCATCGGGCAATGTATTGTGCCATCGGTAGGGTGACGCTTAGCTTCTTAAGCAATCTATAATACTTCAATTCTCTTTTACAGCATCTTCTGCTGATTAGGTGAAGCTCGAAATAATTCAACGTAAAAATATTGAGTTCTTTTTGACAGAATTGAGTCACGACAATCAATCATAAATAAAGTATATCTGCATTCAGTGTTGATTTTTAACTGTTCCATGTTATTGAAAATATCATTGCTCTATACACTGATGTAATCTGAACAAGACAATTTTTGAAAAACTCGCGTTCTAATTGCCTGGGAACACCTGCTGTGAAGTTCGTATGGCTATCTTATACCGCCATCTTTTCTATGACACTTATATCGAAAATAAAAATGACCTAGATAGTTTAATAACTTCTAATCGACTCAATGTTGATGGGAAAATATCATTTTAGAAATGTTTAGTAAATAACAGATGTCGCTATTGCAAATGCATTGAGGAAATGATTCGTATTTATCATAATGCTTTATGTGTTGCCAGACCACGTAACGTAATAAAAAAAAAGAGAAAGAAACAAGTCAAATCGATTGATGGTCCATCATTCTGAAAAACAAAATGCAGTCAAATAGCAATGATGAATTATATGATATTGTGAGTGATGATGAAGATGAAAATGAATCACGTCTTAGTTGTTCATTACGTTGGTTAATAAGTAAAGCATATCCAAATGGTTCCACGCCGGATTATTTGCCCTGTGAACATTTTTTTCAAAATGAAAATAATGAACGTTTCCTATCACCCGATATAGCACTTGTTTTACTATCAGGCGATTTATACATACGTGCATTTCAATATATAACAAATCAACAAGATCAATTAATAACTTATGATGATCTAATAAATTACTTTTATTCTCAAAACATTATTATTGACATTAACCTATTGAAACAAGACGAACCATTAAATGCACATGTTCATTTAGAATTAATTGAGCATCTCATGAAATTATATTTCAATATAGTTCTCGATCAAAATCTTCTCTATCAACGTTTTGAAAGACTTCAATTGAAATCTGTTTTAACACTATTAAATAAATCCAAACAACTCAATACAGAATCATTTTTAATTATATGGATAAATGGCATATGTGAATGTATGGTTAGTAAATGGTCACAACGTATACCACCAGTCGTCGATCTACGTTCAGCATTAATCGATGGGACATGTTTATGTGCACTTATATCATATTATGATGAAAAATATACTATAAAAAAAACTAAAAATGATTTAAATAGTCTAAGAAATTATTTAAATCATTATAATGGAGCTAAAATGACGAATATATTTCCATTTACAGTTAAACATTTACGTCAAAATATGGTACTAGATTTAAATCTCTATGGTATGCTTGTCGATTTATTTGTTTTATACGAAATCGATGAAAATTTTGATAAACGAAGTTTTTTTAATGAAAACGAAGATGAAGAAAATATGTGTACAAATAAATCGAATCAAACTTATTCGATTGATGACGATGATGAAAATAATGAGGATGGCACTAATGAATTTTTTATTTTGCATAACAATAATAATAATAATAATAATAATGAACAAATTACAACCGGTGGAATTTTACAAACCAGTACAAATCATGATCGACAAATGGTAAAAAATGAATAAATTTGCTTTGATTGAACTGTTCTACACGGAGAATTTGAGTCTTCTTTTGCATTTTCGTAACCTTCAATTTGTCATAATCCCACATTATTTTTTGATCGCCATTGTTTTCAATGTGTTGATAAAAACCCACCCTAACCATCATTTTAACTTTTCAAATGCTAATAGATGGATTAAACGAAACCTTCATGATCACCGTATGTTTTGCATGAAGAAAAAAATATTTCATACGATTAGACGAGATTAAGAGTGTTCAAAGGTCACTAGGAGAGAACACACAATGTACAAATGATTCTTTCTTAGATATCACAACTAAACTATTACATTTAAACAATATTGATGAAGGTTCGTAACATAGATCGCATTTTAGAATCGATGACATATTTTTGTGTAATTTTCAAAATTCATTGCATGAACTAGAACGAATACAGCAGCGAGTCGACAGTTCGATATCCAATCCACCATAAAGCGATAAGTTTTTGATAGATTAAATATCCTTTTTTCTCTTGTTCTTTTCGATAAATTTCATTCGATCTCTTTCAATATTGAACAGAACGAAATCATTATATGTTCTAACATTGCTATTTGTTTTATTTCATGATAGACATCAATTTATTTACTATGACTCGACTCGGACATGAGTTAGAGTTCGAAAAAAACATTATTAGCCAACGAAGTTCTGCTTGATTACGAAAATTAATCCTTTGTTTGTTTAAATGAGAATACTGCATAGTTTTTATTCACTTTTTTTTCTTGTCGCAGGTTGCTCCAATAAAAAGTAGTTTAAAAACTTCAATATATTCATCTACAAATGCTAATGCATCTCAAAAGAAGACAACATTCATGCCAACAACAACAACATGGCAACGACAAGCATTATCAAATCAAACAACACCGATGAATACAACACGGAATCAAGAGACGTCACCTATCGATGATCATCAATTAACAAATGAATTTTTAGCTGTTAAAATGCAATTAGAAATGAAAAAACGTGCTATTGAACGTGATAAACAACGTTTAGAATCCATCCGTGATAGTAAACGGCAAACGATAAGTCAAGAAGCATTCAAACAATTGTTACAGAAAAAAACTCGAAATTCAGCAGCTTTAACCAATGAATATTTTCCTTCGTCAGAATCTAGTAATACTATTAATAATGATAATAGTAATAATCATATTCGAAAATCTCAAACCACATCTGAATTTCGTTCACAACCAAATACATCTTCCGTACAACAAAAACCGGTTATGATTGAGCCAAAGAAAGAAGAATCATCTATTGTAGATTTATCAAAACCGATGACACGTGATGATTTTCTGAATACATTGGAATTACTGAAACAAAAATATCTTGAAAATACAACAACACCAACAGCACCTAATATTATTGAAGAAAATCGAATTGATGAAGGACAAAGAATCGAACAATTGAACTCAAATATTGGAGAATTACAACAGGTAAATAAAAATTTAACGATATGAATACTAGTGTTCGATGCAAAACTATCTACGTCGATTGGAAATAGTTTAGTTATTATTAGTGTGCTGCATCGCATTAGTAGTCAATGTTTTTGTAAGGGAGTTCGTATGAAGCCTCTCGATTTTTATGCAAAGCACACTTGTATGAAACCTTTAATTCTTGCATTAGCTCATCGAAAACAAACATAGATAGGGTTCAATACAAACAGAATCAGTACTTTTAACTTATGAAGAAGACTGACAATTTTTCTTCAAATACCTCCATTCACAATATTTCTCAATTCATAATGAGAGACAGAATATCTGAAGGATTCTTGATAAGAAATGATTTCTATTCATTATGATCAATGGTAGTAATAAACTGGAGACAAATGTAATTTTATCCAGCGCACTAAAAATCTCTTAGGAATTTATTGATAAATGTAAATTGCCTTTTCTTTACTCTCGAGAATTATAAGTTGCAACTTTATTCTCCCTTACTTATTTTATCCATTCACATTTGCCTACAATAAATTTAAATAATTAATTAAAAAAACATTATGCTAATTTCATGCGGACAGAAAAATTTATTTTAATATTTAAATTCAAAATTTGAATTCTTTTTCTTCTTCACAGGTCATAACAAGTCTATCAGTAAAACAAGAAGAATTACATAATCAAGTTGTTCATGCAAGTGGAGGTAATATATCTCGTAATGGTACTTTCTCAACAAAATCAATGACATTTCCTCGACGAATATCTTCGTCTACGCCCCGTGAACATCAGCAAGAAGAAGAATCACCGCCGCCGCCACCATCACCACCACAAATCGAACCATCAACGAAAACGAATGGCTTAGCGCTTGAAATTGTCGATGATCCATCGGCTTCGACAGCGATTGAAATGGAACGTAAACGTGAATTAGTTTTACAACGACAACAACAACGTCTTGACGCATTCGAACGACGTCGTCAAATGCGAGAAATGGAAAATTTAAAACGTGACGACGAACGACGAAGGAAAGATAGTGAAGATTCAGCAAAAAAAATCGAACGCGAACAAAGACGTGATGAAATTTTTCGACAATACTTAATGAAAAAAGAAAATAATCCATCATTTACTAATGATCATAGTAATGGTGAACATCCAATCATTAAAATGAGACCGAAAAGTTCTGCTACAGCAACATTACCAAGACCTCCTATTGAAAAACGACAAACCGGTAATTGAATTTTACATCAATCATTTATTCTGAGCTATAATTATTAGATTTTCGTTTTCGTTATTGAAATTCAATAGATTGAGTTTAGGAACATGTTTTCCCGTCACTATAGATGAAAGTCTATGCACAATCAATAGTCATTCGTGCAGGACAAAAATATAAGCCATACATGTGTTTTTTTTCAGTCTCATTAGACGAAGGCAAACTATATCAAGTGAGAATTCTCAGAGTCGTTTTCCTAAGAATAATTAATATTGATTTGACTAAGCGATACTTTACAGTAGATCAAAACATTTACTGGACACTTTCATTCACGATCTGATTTTTTTCTTCTAGCTCCAATAATAATATCAACATTCGGTACACCAACCGATGGTATCTCTTCTACAGATCTGTTCAATAATTCAGATTTAAATGACACAATGTCTACAGGTGCATTATCATTTGTTCGAATGGCTGAATTACGTTCTAATAAAACTCCATCTCAATCATCAAAAATCGATTCACGTACATTACCACGTTCAGCAACACGTACAACAACAACAACAACAACAACAACATCAGCAGCAGCAGCAGCAACACCTGAACCTCCACTTCCACTCATTCCATTAGCTGAACCACGATATCCATTAGCTAAACCATTATCAGGTAAAAGTAATAAGCAAACGATCGTGAATGCTCTAACACAAGTTATACTTGCTGGTCGTGTTAATGATCGTGCGCGCGAACAAGTATGCGATGAAATCGAACGGCATGTAGAGAAAGTTAAACATTTTATTATCTTATTTCGTGATTCACGTTTACAATTTCGTGGTGTTTATGCATATATTCCAAACACAACATCCGATTCTCCAACACGCATTGAACGCCTATACGGCCAAGGGCCACGTGAAATAACTGAATCCATGGTTGAAACATTTTATAAATATAATAACGGTTCGAAAAAATGCACTCAAGTACCGACAAAATCATTTAGTGTTCAATGTGATGCTATAACCATACTAAATAATTATTGGACTCAACAATCGACGGCTACTAAGCGAACAACAATACTTCCTCCAACGCCGTCTGATTAAAGCTTTCTTTTTTTGTTTTGTTTTGAACCATGTATATTGATATGAGTTTTGTTTTTAAATAACAGTGCTTTTCTTGTACAGTTTTGTTCTAATTGTTGTTTTTTCTTATTCTTATTCGGCATTATTGTGCTTATCGAAGACAAAGAAAAATCGTATTATTAACAATGACAATCGAATCAAGTTTTAAATTATGTTGAATATCGACGTGTCATAATTTAAAAACTCGACAACTCAGCCTAGTGGAATCCTCTCGTTCATGCGCTATGCGCATATCGTGATGTCCGCACTGGTCAAGGATACGATCATTTGGAATATTTGTATTTTACATTTCGTGTAATGATCTAATTCGAAAATTAGTGTCCTTATTAATCATGAGCGATGCCCCACGCATCGATTAAACAGTACATTATTTTTGCACAAATAATTTTTATCAGAATATTCATAGGCCCGAAGGGTCGGCGGTCTGCATAATGTGAATAGTTCCGACTGGAAAGAAAGCGATGAATTGATTAGTGGTTCGCCCTCATACACATAAGCACAGCCATAATCTCAAACAAGAGATTGTAATCTTAATATTGATAATCTATTTCTTTAAGATTCTTTCATAATTAAAAAAAAGGAAACTACATCAATCATTTCTTACTAATAAAATTTCGACGAGTTGATGGATTTTTCATGAGATTGCTCTTCAAAAAAAAAAACATATATTAACAGGAAAAGCTCTGTAATACCAAATACAATATATATATATATATATGTGTCCGAAGGTAAATATGTACGTCATGACCTCACGTTCAATTGAAAGCATGACAAGTTACTATAAATAACGCCTATTTTCAAGTATTTTTCAACTTCAATACTTATTTTATCAAAAAGCAAGAGAAATGAACCGGAAATAGGTTCGTGAGTGAATGATCTAGCCAAAACTAAAAGGCTGATTGGTCTGTTATCATTTAGTTATATTTTATATTATGAATTCAGATAATAGTCACCTCTCTAAATATGAAATTTTCGTTATGCCAACTTTCATTCATCCAAACGTTTTTGAAAACCCTATTGTAAAACAACGGTAGATATTTGTTTTGTCGTAAGTTATAGAGGACATCTACGCCGAACATCAGTAATGCCACATCTTTTATTATCAAATCTTATTTTTAAAATAAATCTTATTTGAAAAATTCAGCAAAAATAATTTCTTTTCCCAATTACTATTGTGTAAGAGAGAAAAACCCGAAGCAATGATCGATAGACTCTTTCAATATCAGCGACGACAATTTTATCCTCAAAAAGAACAAAAAATAAATAAATATGAAAATCAGGTCTGAATATGTAAATATATACATATATATTATTCTCCAGTTTATTAATATCAATACAAAACCAAATACATCTACGTGAGATTATACAAAATGATTTGAATCATAGTAAATGACAAATACAATAGCGAAAAACATGACGAAGCTTGGCTAGTTTCTATAGACATTGTTATTTGATCGGAAACTAGAAATAAATAATAAATTAAATCGCTTTTTTATGGCTTCGGTAATCCAATCTTTTTTTCATACTTTTATTTCGTTTAAGCATTGGCATACGTGATGTTGATAAGTCATTATTTTCTATGACTTTGGAGTTTGTTGAGCGTCGGTATTCTTTAAGTTCAGTGCATATTTATTTTCATAGATAGAGAGAGAGAAAAAAAAATATGGTATAACGCTTTACCTCGTAATTGAATAGTTGCATGACTTTGACCAGCCTTTGAATCTGCAATACAATTATAGAGTCCAAAGTCTGTTTTATCGATCTCTTTTAAATATAAAACTGTTTGTATAACATCACCAGCCGTTTGTTGCTGTTGCTGTTGTCGAAATTTTATCGTTGTATTATTATCGATTCGATGCCAATAGATTTTCGTATCGAATGGAGCAACAGCCGAACAACGCAATTGTATTGATTTTCCAAGACTACTTTGAAGAATTGCCGATGGAGCTTGAATCAAAGGTGGAACTAGAATTTAATCAAATAACAAGGTCATTGTTTTTTGAATGTGCATATGATCTACTCTTATTCAAGGTTAATCCTATGTATATTTAGAAATTCAATAATCAATGAATACGAGAGATTGCAACCTCTAACCTTCGCAAGTACGCCGCTCTCATAGATCGAATGAAAAGATCAGCAGTTCATTTTAGACTAAGGTTACGAGGTCACAATGTCCTTGTTTTACTCGCTCAAAACAGCTTTTTTTAGACAACATCATTAACGATGTCAAATTATTGTTTATGGAGAATTTAAGTCTTAGCAGTTAAACTGCTCACCGGTATTGCTTAAAGATTTTTCTATAATTGAAAAGGAAATACTGCCTATGAAATAAAATTTCTCTGCAATATATAAAATTTTGATCGAACGAGCACGATAGTCATGTTTCTTTACTTTTTTTTGTAACATCCATACATACAAATGCGATTACATAAACACGTGCAAGCGCAATAAAAATCCGAAGCATGAGAACAAAAAGAAAACGATATTATTTGTTACACAAACTACACATGAAGAAAAAAATAATAACGTTTAGAATCTGCTCGTTAAAAGAGTAAATAAAATTTGGGCAACAGCAACAAAATGAATTAACTGTGTACAATAAGTAAATTGCCGTAAGTGGCAGTTTGTGATAGAGCAGAACGGGAACATTTTTATTATTTTGGCAACAACAAGAAAAAACCTTCAAGATCAATCGATTAATAATCGATTATTAAAGAATAAGAAAACAAAAAGCTTTCAGCGACTAGGCGATTGGATTATTCGCCTTATTCAACAAACGCTAAGATGCGTGTAAAACGAGAGAGAAAACAGACTAACTTAGCGCAGCTTGAACTGCCCAGCAGACTCGACAGATTCTAGTTTTCAATGAGCATGTACACTCAGCATATGCAACTATGAAAAGAACATCATACAAATACACACACACACACACACACACACGCATACAATTGACAACAAACTAATAGTAATAATGAAAAATTGTGTAAGAAGGTGAAAAAAAGAAATTATATCACCGAGCTCGACGAAGAAAGAATTTTTTGGGTTTCATTTTTGATTTATACCTTCCTTCGTTCGCCTTAATTTTTTTCTAAATAGGATATGTATCACAGAAATAGATGAAGACAACAATGATGAACGTTATAGAATAATGTCAATTTAGTCATTATACTTGCTGAATTGTAGCCGGCAATCCGCATCTACAACTTTCAACAATCATATTGGGTATGTATTTTTTAATAATAGGTCCATCATTTGTCGTTGTGTACGTCAATTCAAGGCCACCTGTGCGTGAAAATGAACAACAACGAGATGATTCTCTGTCAGCTCTGTGGTTTCGTGTCGCAGTTAAACTATTATTGTTTCGACCATGACGATGAAGAAAAACAAGACTGTATGCTGCATGCGGTTTATTTTTCTGTTGGTCATTTTTAGCTTGAGTATATTGAAGTGATGAACCGCTCGTATCACACGAACCGACACATTCACCAATATCAAATTGTCTTGGATGAATAACAAAATCCAATACATTGTTACCTTGATCGAGATCAATTATAAGCGAACGTCGGCAACATGGACTTTTTGGATCACAAGGTTTTGCTGGACGAGGTTTACTGTTGCTCCGTATCGAACGATGGCCAGTAGATGGCGAACGTAATTTACTACTATATTCAACCAGCATATATAGTAATTGTTGTTCTTTTGACTCTTCACTGTTGTCTTCATCGTCGTTTGAACGCTCAAAACGATTCTCTGAAGGATAACTACGATAAGACGGTGGCCACGATGCTTTTAGTTGATGATTGATTGCAAGGCCATACCACGGCGTTATGAATTGTTGATAGATTTGTTCAATAGTGAGTTTTTCATTATTTGGATCAATCGTTAATTCAAGCCAATTGTCATTTAACTCTTTTATTTGGCTTATCGGTAGACGCATTGTATCCTTCAAGCTGGGTGATGGTTTTATCGATGTATCATTTGATGTTGGCCGAAATACTTGATAGATTTGAAACATATCTGGTGCTAAAAGGTCTTCTTGTTGTTCATTGAGAACAAAGAAATTCTTTTTAATATAAAAACGTAATTGTTGCGCAATTTGATTTGTTGGTAAACTTGCTGATTCGAGTGGGGATTTTGAAAACTTGAAGCAATCGATATTCTTTAAATTGTCATGCTTTATATTGAGCTGAGCTGATATTTGACGTTGGCATGTGTATGATGAAATACGCGCACCAGGCAAAACAGCACGTTCAGTTACTGCTTGACTTTCATCACGGCTTTGTTCTTGTTGTTCTTTAGTTTTTAGATATTCTTGTTCAAGTTGTTTAACAAATGGTGGTGGACTATCTGCTTCAAGATTGATTTCTACGGTTACGTTGGGTGGTTCTTTTAAATTTAAACGATCGAATAGAAGCCGTGCAAATTGTTCAATCTGTTGTTCACTTGCTTGATTTTTTAAGTTTTTTGTTACTTTTCCTGTTGCTGATTCTATCAAAGAATCATCGTTGACCATAGGATCAGAATTGTCATCAGATGAAATCGGCTGATAAAAAGGTTTATTCGACGGTACATATCGTCGTTTTGAATACGTTCGAAAACGAGCTTGTAAAAATGATGATGATAATAGAAGAGTAAGATTTAAAATAACGAACCAGGATGTCATTATTTTGCCTTTATCAAAAAGACTCGTAAAAAGATTCTAACCCGGAATAATTATATATATGTGTGACTGTGAATTTAATTCTAACAATATATATATATGTGTGCTTGTAGATTTTTTGATGAAATACGAGAAACTTTTTAAAATAAATGTTAGCTCTTGAAGCGATGACGTCAGTCGAGAATGGTAAACTTGTAGGTGGTATCGATAATTTTCTGTATATTGGATTTAGTGAGGAATAGTCGAAGATAAATGATGAAGACGCAGAGAGAGAAAGATCATGATGAACAATAATAAAACAACAAGCAGAAAAGAGATGAAGGAGAGAGGGAGAGAGAGAGAGAGAGAGAAGAGAAACTATGCAATATCTATATTCTTCTTTCATTTTTTATCGCTCTTTTTTTCTCATTCTGTATCATGTTGAAATTATTACTACATCCTTCTAATTTATCTTTTTTTGGTTGCTATATCAATGATAAAGAAGGATCGTATTAAGCAAAAATTATTAATAAAGAATTTAAAAAAGAAGCTTTTTTTTCTTGATGAATATCATATTCGCTTATGTGCGTACGTTGTATTCAAGCAAAGACTTCGCACTCGAAGATATTTCATATATAAAAACACGAGTAGCATTGAGCTCGACAAAGGACGCAGTATTTCTGTCGATTGAGATTCTCCTTTAGTAGTTTGAGTGTCGGTACTTTTCTCGAATTCATGTAGTTTAAATTTTGAATTATTTATTGTGCGATCGATATTGCATGAAAACAAAAACAGGAAATTGTTTCTGGCGAAAAATATAAAATGCATTATGATTGATATAAAGATTTTTCTAGAGCTTCTCTGTTTTTATTATTCACATAGGTCAACTTGAACGATGGCGCATCGATCATAGTAGATTATGCTCATATTTTCTAGAACATGATTATTCATATATGATGATATCAATGAGAGGATGCAACAACTCAGTCCGAGTTAAAGATAATACAAGATGAACTTTTCAATTTCAGCTGTAGTCTCTGCAGTAATGAAATATATCGTAGAATCAAAACGGAATTTGAAAGGTATTAGCAAAAAAGAAAACTATCGGTTAAATGCCAACCTAAGCATACGCTCTTATTCATGGAATATGCTAAGTCGAAGTATCGAATTGATTGTTTTCATGTTACAGATTGAGATAAAAAGCTAACTACGTTCAAGCGTTGATATTCTTGGGCATCGCCAACTAATTCATTTTTTCTCTGCTAGTAGAAATAGAGAAGAATTTCTAATTTTAACTCTAGCTTTTCAAAAAATTGAGATCCTTTTTTGTGAGAGTATTTATTAGGTTACCTACAGATCAGTATAAATTGTGGATGGTTTTATTACTAAACGTAAATCGTAAGTAAATGATTATGAAGTCGCCAATAGAGCCGAACACAGGATGTTCAACATGAGAAAATGAAAGAGATCATATATGAATAATTTCAATGGAACCGATAGACATAGGTCAAGTTCTACTTCTTCGTTGTCTGTTATTGTTGTTTTTGTTAGCTACTAGTCACTGATAATGAGGGTGATTGAGGTCAAACTCAGTCTTCCATACTGTTTCCTGATGGTCGGCATCTCTTTTTCTGTCAAGAATAACCGTTCATTATTTTTCCTCGTGTATGAACAAGCAAGATGGATGCAAATGTCCATAGAAAAAAAAGACAATAGAACCGAGGGCATTACGTAGACATCAGAAAAAGCAAAAACATGACATTATGATAATTATCGGAATACTAACGTGCTATCAATAACATCATGTTTACTAGCAGTTGAAGGGCGCAACGATCGAGATAGAATTTTTATATTCATTAAAAATAGAGTATTTTATCAATGTGAAGAATATTAAATTTCAGATAGAAAGAAAACACATTAGTTTCAGCCATATGTACTTACAAAGAACGCGTAATTCAATATCTTTGCTAACAACATGACCATTGACACCATTCGATGCTCGACATTCGTAATGGCCGATTTGGGAGCGACTTATATTGAATAGATGAAGTTGACCATTTGTGTTATTTGTTAATAGTTGACTTTCTGATTTTGTTTGATTATCTCCACTGTTAATTCGGCGAAACCATGTTATGTAAGGTTTAGGCCGACCTCGAGCTTGACATTCCATTGTCACATTACTATATTCGTGTACAACAACTGGCGATGATGTAGCATTGTCAATAAACGTCGGAGTTTCTATTTAAATAAAAAATAATAGGTGTAAAATTAGAAAAAACGTAATGTAAAGGTTTGTTTTTCGAGAATGGAAAGCAAGAGAACAACTAGTCGTAGCTTACAAAATTCCCGACGATCTATAGTATGTGTTCATATTTTCTGGGCATGCTTCGGTAATTCTACGACGAAAATCTCTTTCGCAAAACTACAGAATATCGATGTGATTGGCACACCAATTTAAGTAGAGGACTTTTGTTTTTAACCTGAAAATAATTTAATTCACATTAATAAAAATGATAATACTTATTATTATAGTCTTCGATAAGGACATCTCAGTATTGTATCATGCTACACAATTTTAATCAGAAGTCATATAAATAAACTGACAAAATAATCGTTTGGAGATTTTCTGAATAAAAGTTCAATGATCTCAGTAGAACTCGTTGACGCTCGTTATCCCTGTAGAGTTCAGCCGTTTTCATTGATTTTCATGTTTTGAACAAGGTTTTTTGGTTTTATTATCATGTGTTTCTTAGTGTAACGTTGTTCATCATAGTAACAACCAATCTACTCACACTATTATGCATTTCGATAAGGTCATAAGTACTAATACTTATCATTTACTACAGTTAGTTACATCTTATTCTGTTGACACATTGTCCTCGACTATTGTGGCGACGTACTGAATGATCGTAAGTCTTCACTCGCCTTCTCGGTAGAAGAGACTATCTCAATGACCTATACATTGTGCAACAATAACGGTGACGACTATAGGAATATCGGTCTGTAATTTATGATCATCATATTTTAGACAAAAAAATATATTGAAATTATCTGGAATCAGCATACAGGATGGCCCATAAGAAAAGTAACAAAATTATGTATCTTCGCTACGGCTATAGCGAGCAAGCTGATTTCTTTTTACCAATGATAGAGGCATGTGCAAGCTTTATATTCATAAAGACATGCTTGGAGAGACCGTTTTTGTGTACTCAAAAAAAAGTGAGTACAATCTAGATTCAGTCAGTGTGTACGGCCGTTAACACAATAGCCTTTGCAAGCCTCATTTAATTGTCATGAAATTTTGTACACAGAATGATCTCATCAATATCTCAGTCGAGTTCGAAGATGAGAAGTATCCGTCAAGAAATGGTTGAGTTATCGAAAAAAATTGTCAGTATTTACCAGACCATTCCTGAGGGTGGGTACAGAGATTTTTTCAAAGAAACTTTTTTTTCTTACAGTGAAGGTGTTTGTATTGTTGCGCGAAAAGACTAGATATTTTTACATCAAAGGAAAGCTCTCATTTCCAATATAACAAGGTTAAAATATTAGCTGCTATTGGCTTGTCTAGAGCGAGATATTCGATTTTTCAGTGAATTTTCTCTACAGGACCGGTTTTCCCAGCAATATCCTATTCTCGAATTTGAACCTGAAACTTTGTATGTATGAAGGTCTCAAGCAGACTAGTTTATAGAAAAAAAATCAGAACCCAGGTCGAACAGTTCGGTCTGGAAACGGCCGGTTCCGTGTAGTTCGTTGATTTTGTGGAAGCAGTATTCCGGTTGGAAAATTTTCGCCTTTTTCCCGGAGATTTCCGATCAATTCCTGCCGGAAAGCGCCGGACCTTGGCAGGAATTCGCCGGAAAAGTCCGGTCATATTTTTGACCGGAATACTGCTTCCATGTTCCAGCGATTTCCCGTGTTTTCCTGCAGGATATGGTGACTTTCCCGCATACTCCCTGGAGTATCCTACGGGATCCGGTGGCCGGAATGTTCGACCTGGAAAGTTTTGGAAAAACTCTTTTCGAAATATAGATATCTCAAGGATACAGCTTCTATAGGAAATCATCTATATTTTGAGAGATTCATATCTCGAAGAGAGTTTTTCCAAAACTTCTGATTTTTTTTCTATAAGCTAGTCTTCTTGAGACCTTCATGCATACAAAGTTTCAGGTTCAAATTCGAGAATAGGATATTGCTGGGAAAGCCGGTCCTGTAGAGAAAATTCACTGAAAAATCGAATATCTCCCTCTAGACAAGCCAATAGCAGCTAATATTTTAACCTTGTTATATTGGCGATTAGAACTTTCCTTTGATGTAAAAATATCTAGTCTTTTCGCTCAACAATACAAACACCTCCATTGTTAGAATTATTCACAACATATATAAATTGATTCAATTTTTGCAGTACACGTAACAGTCGGATGAGAATCCGATGTTTCCTCATTTTTTTAAACATATTGTTTTTCTTTCTATCTGTGAAAAAGTAAAATTTCTTTGCCGAGAACAATAGTGATACTTAACAAAACGTCTCTTTAGACATGTCTCTATGAACATTAAGCTTGAATATGCATCTATCATTGCCAAAAAAGTCAACTCGTTTTTTCCTGTTACCTTACTTATGGGCCACCCTGTATCGCGCTTTTCTATTTTAAGTTCGCAAGATCAAAGCCGAAAGATACGAGAAAAAATTTAATAATCATATACATCCATTTATTTGCGTGAATAATATCGCGAAAATATCTAGTTCGAAAATCCAACGGAAAAAATTTACAAAGAAAACCAAAATTAAAAATTTTCAGCAATTCTAACTGCTATCACATGAACGACATGTCAAAAAAACCTGCCATTTAACGTCACTAAATAAATAAATATACAAATATTGATTTCTAAAAAAATTCATCTTTTACTACATTATTTACGACAAAACAAATTGTCAACGTCGATCGACTTAAAAGTAACATATATGTTTTTCGACTGTCGAATCAAAACTATGACGACTATGATATGTTTGTTGCGATGCTATTGATGATACAGTTTGTCTACGTCTATGTTTGGCCAATTTTTTACGTGAAATAAAATTATTTGGAAAGAATTGCATTATAATTAATGAATAACAGAGACAAGAAGCTAGAAGTTCACATAATGATGAAGCTATTTCATAGTTTTTATCATGTTTTACAAGATGTATCCATTCTAATGTCACAGATGCTGTTACTGTGCCGACAAATACATACAAAACGGCTTTGACTCTCAGTCCATGAAACCGATGATAATATTCAGCAAAAAAATCAAATAATATGTAAAAAGCTATGTTGTCTCTTGTTAATGTTATAAAACGGGTATCAAAAAAGATGGGTATAAATATTGCAAGAATAACCTCTAAACGTGATATAAAACGAAATAAATGCCGTTGTTCAATGGCCATATGAACACGAACATAGCGATCTTTTGAAAATACTCGACAATAAATTAAACATCCACAATAAATCGAATCTACTAATCCAGATAAAGAATATAAAATCATAGAAGATATCCGACGCCTGTCGCATAATATTAAATGACCTAATGTACCGATTTCCGATAAGATCCAAAGGAATAAATGATAGAAAAATCGAGTACAACGCGACCGAATAGGTACACAATATTGCAGATACGCAAAAACGCTTAGAACCGATGAAAGTAGACCTTCATATCCATTATCTTGTTTTGAATTTAAATGGTAGTAGAATACATCAAATATATAAGCTGTTTGAGCGACTATAGGTAATAATACACTAACAACCACAAAAAATTTATCCTCGCTTCGACTTGAGAGCGACGGAGATAATTCTGCATCAACGCCGTGCATTATCAAAAAAGTAATAGATACGAACTGACCGATTAAGCATGTGTACTTTATCTATATATATATATGTATAATATGAGTACAGCATTTCGCATATTCAACCTTTCAATCAATCAAGCGTGAACATTTGCATGTTTGTCATATGTAGCACAATCGAAATTTAGTCGCACTTACTCATTCAAAAATAAGTCATGTGACAAATTGTATACTTAGCTTTGAAATTGATCTAGAACAGACTAGATGAACAAATCATCACAACAGAACAGTCGATCAGTTAATAGCAATTGATGTAGTTAACAAAAAGTAGCTGTGCGGAAAAATGTAACGTGAATAGTCTCAATGCTCTTTTGATCTCTAACGACATTGAATCTATGATCGTGGCATCATATTTCTATATCAAATTTTCAAACAAGAAGATCTACATAGAAATCAAGTATTTCAATTGAAGATGAATTAAATCATCCGAAGAGACAATTTTAGTAGAATTAGCCATTGTCAGCTAAGATAATTCTAGAGACTAGAACCTATTGAATGCGGATACTAAAAAATGTCAAATTCTAGAACGAACTTAACTTCATTCAGCAGATAAATTTAAATTAACTGCTGATTTGTATCGCGCTTAGGACACACATTTATTAGTCGAGTACGGAAAATTGAAAATTTTCACGAACAATTACTAATAACAAACAACAGTACGTATTGATACTCATCGTCGATTGTATTATTAATAAAAGAAGTGTTGAAAAGCAATTCCGCATGCATTTCTATTTCATATATGTATAAATATAGACAACGAAATGTCATCAGTTCTTTAAATAAACATACTCTTTTGCTTCAGTTCACTTCCTCCTCTCTCTCTCTATATATATATATGTTTGCCAGAGCTTGCGATTATCATCATCATTTACCGTTTTGCTCTATCAATCTAAATAGCAGTGAGCTTATATATATATTCTAAAGAAAAGATCAGCTAGATTTTATTTCATCTTTATTTCGTCTGGCATTCTCACTCTGCTGTTTTTTTTAGTATAAACAATTCCGATTTGTTTCTTTGTTGATCATCTCAATTCAAGCATGATGCTTCATTCCGAGAGAAAAGCTAATAAGCACATTTTTGAAACTATGATTTCCATCTATGTATCTCATTCTGTTTTTTTCTCTTCATTCAAAAAACAAAGCACATTCTCACCTTGAACATATAAATGAATGAATGATTTTTGTGGTGTTGGCGTGTTTACTTCGCATGCATAGGTTCCTTCGTCGTCCCCTGTTACATCCGTTAGCGTTAATTTATAATCATTTTGAGTACGTTGAACATTTAAACGATCATCAACTATAAGTAAATCTTGATTATGTGCTAAAATTAAATCAGCCTCATAAGCTGCACGACTGTGCCGAATCCATATTAATTGATATGATGATAAATCTTCATCGATACGATTAAATATACATGATAATATGGCCTTTTGACCGCTTGTTACTGTTACACTAGGATTCGATGCTGCAATTATTGTTTTATTTTCGCCTAGAGTTAAAAGAAAACCGAGTATTCGAGCATTGTAAAAGATAATCATTCATGCTCCGAGCACATGCTATCCTTGACTTGCTTTGTATGTAATATATATTATGCAGAACTCATCTAACATGCGCCGGAGCAAAGACAGAGAAAATGAATTAACGAATAACAGGCGTTATTCTCGACTGAGTTAGTATTCTTTAGCAGCTTACAACACAAATCCCCAATGAATTTCTGGATGTGCTGAAATGTAAATCGATGTTACGCGCAATTGAAATTTACATTATGACGAACGAAGGAAGAAAGACGATCTCTATTATTCTGACCATTGTCCACGGTAATTACGAGCAGATGAACCATGATATCTCTCATAGTTAACATCCGATTAACATATTTCATGATGACGATGATAATAATATGACATAATCTTTCATTGATCTCACTCACTCGCTCTCTCTCTCTCTCTCTTTTTTTTTGTTTTCAAGGTAAACAGATCTTACCAGAATGGATAAAATAGTTCAACAAGAAGACCACCCTTTGTGAGATACTCTGCATGTTCGATAGACAAATATGATGCAAGAGAACTTGTCGAGTGGACAGAGAACAACAATTATATCGATAAATAGGTATTGAGAATCAAGGTTGCTAAAGAATTATACAGATGAATCATGTCGTATCTCTCATCATATACATTAGCATATGTCAAGAAACAAATTCATGGAACTTAAAGTTGAACTTGAACACTAACGCAATGTTTATAAATCTATAATGTTATACAGACAATTTACATCATCAAATAAGTCGCAACAACAGGAATTTTATAAGGCGGAAAACCTTGTGTATTATGTTGCCACTTTTGTATCATCGATGCATTTATAGCTATATATGATAAATATATACAATATGATATTCTGTTCCGGATAAGTATAAGTCCAATTTTAGTCATACACATGAATACTTAATGATAATACTCTTACCGTGAATCTCAATAGGAGACGAGCATTTTATAATGAATAAAAGAGTAATAAAAATTTTGCAAAGCATTGTATGTAAATAGATTAATCGTTATTGTTATTATTATTATTATTTTGATAAGCGAAAATAAACGAGAACAAGTATCGCCGCTTGAATAAACGAGAGTACTTGAATGTCGGAACGATAAAACACAATTGAGACAACACGAGAGACACAAAGAAGAATAGGATGAGCCTTATGGTATGTGTTGCTTCCTGCTGTTGCCGTTGAGTGGTATGCGATGATAGTAGGACTTGTTCAAGATTTTTCTTTCTCTTCTCTTCTCTTCTCTTCTCTCCCTCTCTCCTACGCTCGTTGTCCATATAGTCACCGCACAAAAGAGAACAATCATCGCATTGAGATAATTGCATGACTGGCTTTTTTTATTTTTATTACATGTTCAAGCAAAAAAAGGCCTTGGTTATATTGGGCGAACGATAATGTTTGAAATTCAATTCATTATTTATTTTTCAACGGCTATAATTATATAAAAGAAATCCAAGTCGAAAAAAATAAGAATAAAGCTATTATGTATTGAAATAGACTAAATATAAAACAAAATTAGTTCTAATCGATTGAAATAGAAAAGATTCTTCGTTTTATATATTAAAAATTTTCAAGCTAACATTGAATTACAATAGCAGATCAACAGTCTGAACAATCATAATCTACCTTATCTGATTTAGATAAAAGTCCAGTGAGACGTGTTAATCAATAAATAGCCCATTGAATGAAGTACTTTCTTTAGTAATTGAATCACATCATTTATGCAAATAGTTCGTTGCGAGCACGTTTGAACTCAGTAGCATGGAATTTTAACACTTATTTGAATGATACTGCAGATAAATACACAGCAACGGTTTCTGACTTTAGCTACAACTTATTTAAACCTATCCAAGGCATGAGATTTTAGCAATAGCAAACAAATAACGACATTTTGGAGACTTCATGAGGGAGTCTCATATACGGAATTGTGAGAATCAATTTTCTTGGCTTCGGTTAATTTTGTTGTCACGGGTCGTTCTGACATCGAATCATCCTGGGATCTATTATCACAATCATACAAAAGAAAAGAATCGGTTCGAACCCTTTTATTCAAAATAAAATAAAATTTGTAAGTCCCGCGACTGGTCCCATCGGAATCGAGACTACTTTGCAGTTCCATAGTCTTCCGCTGCTAGATTTATTTTCAAAGTTGAAACACTTTTCATATTTATTTTAGAAATTTTCAGTTAAATTAAAATTTCAATTGCAATAATTCATTGAAAATCATTAAAAAAATTTGAAGGTGACGGGCTTGATAAGTCGGTCTTGAATAATCTCGATGAACAGTTCAACTACGGCATAATACAAATAAATTTTTGGTGTACTCTTATTGTTTGATACATTCATATATTTGAAGCAAAAACAGATCAATATTGACAATCTAGCGATAAATTGCACTAACAAGTGGAGACAATTGAAGAGAAACATCATCAGAGATATTGTTAAAATAAGAAACACCAGAAATAAGAGATAATAATACATATAGATAAAACGATACATGCATTTTATAAATGCATTTTCTATTTAAAAATAGAGCGACTTAATCATTTTTAAAATGTTCTTGTTCGTTTGAGATATCCATTGTCGACGATAGCTGAACAGGCTAAATGAAGAAGAAAACAGAAACAAAACAATTAAACGAAATAATAAAATATCATACCTGTGATAATAATTTTGTTAATTGAATAATGAGAATAGCGCCAGCAAATGTCAGACAAGGCACACAAGTTTTCAAGTAAAAATCCGAATATGTGTATCTAACAAAACAAAATCAAGTCATTTGTTTTATGAAAACAAAGAAACGAGAAGAAATAGTAACTGACTGAAGTGCACCAGAGCGCAGTAAAATTTCTGTCGTTATTGTTAATAGAAATGACACAATAATTGAGAATATAAAATTTATTGAGCTTCGATCGAACCACCACCAAAATGCCACACAAAAAAATACTAATGTCAATGTAAAATGAAGATCACTTTGAAATTGAATTTTCTATAATAAAAAAAAAAGGAAAACTTTTAATTTTTACACTATTTTATACATATAAACTTACAACACATAAATGATTAATGCCAAGAAATATTACAACTGATTTACAAACTTGAGATTTCCGTATTATATTATTAGTATTCTGTTCGAGAACAGTTGCTCGATCGATTGTAGTAACAATCATGGGATAGATAACACCGACTAATGCTTTTTTGCGAAAAATAAAATTTTGAACATAACCGATAGAGATCTTTTTTCAACTTACCAGAACCCACGCCACATATTGATATGAGGGTCAAACTCGGTAAAGTAAGCATAAGACGTGGAGAATTAAATAATCGTAATTTATGTTCATATTGAAATATCATAAGAACAAAGGCTAATGTACAACCAAAAGTAAATAATTTTATAGACCGTAATGAAACCGAAGAAGCACTGCCGACTAGCATTGGTGTCATGTTTATTTTTTCTCCGACGTTTTTATCTATTTCGATTGCAAATAAAACGACCAATTTCACCAAAATAAATGAATATATATGTATATAAGCATCGATAAAGGCATTGACACAAATGATGATAATGGCGTGATCGAAAGCAATGGCCTTATTCTGTCTCTTTAGCAAGAGTAATTATACGATATAGAAACGAACAATAGAATCTCAAGCGAAAGAGAGAGAAAAACAAATAAAGTGTGATTATGATCGACTTTCGTACGACTATCGATAGTAGACGATTTTATTTATTATGCTTTATCTAAATCAGAAAATAGTTTATTTACTGTTCATCAATAAATCATATGATAGAAAGGCTTTTCGATTTTTATTTGTTCAGCTATTGCTGATCATGTCGTGGACGAGAAAAATCTTGTCGTTGCGTTTTTCGTTTGCATTAACTATCTTGAATAGAACAAAAAACAAAGAATTTTTTTCAATGAAACATTTTTCTTTCTTTAATCGTACACACACACGCACACACACACACACACGAGCCAAGCTTTTTTGTCTTAATTGAAACCGTTTTTAGATTGCAACGACATACAGAAAAAAAAGCATGAAAACAGTAGTTTTTTACGCTTTTTCTCATGAAATAATAAACACATGTATATATGTATAGGTATATATATTGAAGAATGTTTTCCGTTTTGACTGGAATGATGGTTGCTGTATAGTAGATCGGTCTAATTTATTGATATGAAGGCATCAGAAGTGTTGTCGCCGTGGTTGCTGCAGAAAAGAGTTTATGATAAGATTGCGTGGGTATATAGTTTCCGACGACAGTACGACCAGAAAAAAATCGACCATGAAGTGAATTGACAGCATTGATTGCTAGAGATGAAAACAAATATAGGTCTTGTTTATTCTTCTTGAAAAAATTTATCATTTTCTTAGATCATAAGGATACTGAAGAAGAGTTATTTCTAGAAAACTTACCACTAGCAATAGTTGCACATTTAACATAAACATTTCCATCGGAGCTTTTTTCGTCAACATAAATATGCACTACGCCGCCATGTTTATTACATTCTTCTATCACTTCATCACGAATTTCTTTTGCCCAATCCGGATTATGACTAGCTTCTGTCGTTGGATCAAACATATTCGAAAGCATAAAACATTGTGTACTAACAGCTGTTACTGTTGCTAGTTGTTGCGGATTGGGCGGTTCAGGTATACGAACATGTTGCGAACCAGCTGCATGCATATGTGCAGCTTGTAATGCGTCCATAGCATGTTTTGGCATTTGTAAGCCACTGCCTTCGCTTAACTTAGCCATTAAAGCTAAACGTCCCGTTGCACCTAAATTAATACCGCGATGGTCAAGATCGTCAGAATCAAGATTGGATGCAGCTGTAAATGATGATGCAACGCCACCGGTATATGTTGGATAAGTAGTACCGACTGAAGCCGTCATATCACCTGGTCGTTCAGTAACATGACCAACTTTCATCGGTCGTCCAGCTAATTCAAAACCGTTTAAATTCTCCATTGCTCGTTTAGCATCTTCGGCGTGAGAAAATTGAATAAAGCCTGTTCAAAGAAGAGAAAATGATTTTCTAGGTTACAAAAAGAAATGTATGTGATCCACTCACCATATCCTCTCGATCGACCAGTATCAGGATCTTTCATTAGTGTGATATTATCAATACGTCCAAATGGTTCAAATATACCACGTAGCATATCTTCTGTGATATTGAAATGTAGTGATCCAACATATAGTTTCATAGGCCCATGTGTTGGTATCACTGTTCCTGAAAGTGCTGCTATACCATTCGTCATAACTGAATTTTGAGCAGCAGCAGCTGCAGCTGCTTGAGCGGCTAATCGATTTTTTTCAGCATTCGATGGCTTAACAATAATTGGTATGCCAAGAACTTTTTCACCAGATAAGGCAAGAGCCGCTTGTACACAAGCTAAATCACGTAATTCAACGTAGGCAACACCTTTCGATCGACGTGTTCGAGGATCTGTTATTAAACGTACATCACGAACTTTACCAGCACGGGCAAAAAATTCTTCGAGATCACGTGGTCGAATTTGTGCTGCTAGCTGCATACCTAAAGAAAATAAAAGTCAATTATAGAAAAACAATTTTATCCAATTACGTATTGTTGTCTCAATAAACATAGAGCCCTGTAAATCTATTTAATAAAGCAAAGTTCACTTACAAAATACTGTCCGAAGATCACGTTCTTCTGGTGTCAATTCTGGTGATTTTTCACGACGACTTGATTTTGATGTTGATGTATCTTTTGAATTTCTACCTCGATTTAATGATTGGGCTAATTGATGTAATTCAGAATTAACACCTCGTCGTTTACCACTGGGTAATGTTGGTGGTGTTGGTGTACGACGACGTCGTTCATTGATTGGCGACCGGCTTCGTTTTCGATCATGTTTTTTATCACTTTTATGTGATTTATGATGTTTGTGATGTTTATGCTTCTTGTGCTTTTTTTCTTTATCCTTATCCTTATCTGTGTCTGTGTCTTTCTCTTTCTTGTCACCATTTTGCTGTTTATGAATTTGTTGATCTTCATGCATTTTTTCTTCAAGCATACGTTCAATTTCAGTATCATCAGCCATTTCCTATCTAGAACGCAAGCGAACAAATGAATAGAAATTGATTTCTCTACTCAATTTTTACCTTGATCCAATCAAACAATACAGAGGGGAAAATGCGCCTATACAAAAGAAAAGAAGAGAATCCCAATAATTATTTTATAATTTTTTAAAGAATACAAAATAGGAATTGATTGTGAAGAACCACTCCTAGAATAATAAACTATGATATTTTCAAAATACAAAAACGTATCCATGGAAAATGAAACGTCTGTTTGTGCGTAGGATTGATATTGTACGTGGATGAGCTTCTAAACAAGGACAAGTCTTTCTTCGTTTTTTGTTATTTCAATCAAGAAGAAAATTTTATTTTATTAAATATGCATTCGTCTCCTCCTTGATTAGGCACTTTTATTTTAATTCAAAAAAATAATTAAATCAAACACTCACAAATTTAAATAAAACTTGACTGCAGTTTCAATCGGACAAACTTGATTAAACAATTAGAATTATGGATGTGGATGTCTGAGAATAATAAGCCATGTGACGCCATTTAAAAAACATACAGTGAAGTCCTCCACGAGTCGACCAATCAGAGTGTTAACGCCCCCTATGTATTCTATGTATTGATCATTCTCTCAAAGATAATCTCGATACGCATATTCGAAAAGAAACGTGAGCACTTTTGCTACAAATCTATTTGTGTTGAACACAATTGTAGTTAACAATATAGTAGGACTCACAATAAAGACTACAATACATGATGATTTTGAAAATTTCACATTATAAACTGAAATATGGGTGAGCTCGAAGAATTTAAGCAATTTTTACAGATTCACAATGTAATTACTTTACTACTCATAATATGAAATTCGCCAAAAATGTGTTTGCATCAAAAGATTCTTGGGCTGCTACGGTTCAGTAAATAGAAAATAAATTTGACAATGACACGTATGTGTTAGTAATATTGAAACCTATCGTATCATATTGCTTTTGAAAAGTTATTCGTGTTGAGAGATCAATATACGAACTTTGTTGGCCATTGATATAAACCGACTTAGTAAATTTTTGTTATCACACTTTACGTTTTAGAAAAAAAAAACGAACAAATATTTGAGTAGCTGAAGTGGACAATCGAAGCTTTAGTGTTTGTTTTAAAAAATGATAACTTTTCGCACTTTAAATGTTCATTTTTGACCATTGCCACCTATCACCTAACTTAACTGACTAAACATGACTTCAATACTTCATATTAAACAACCATATTTCAAACCCACTAAATTTTCATACATATATCTATATCCAGCAACTTTTATCAATGACTGAAATCAATAACGTGTCACTCTGTTTTCTATTGCTGAAAGAAGCACAGAAGCGTATCCATGAAAATAATTAGAATACTCTTTTTGGTGAATTTAACTTCTGACTTCTTTGCTATATGTATTGAATAAACATTGAACGCTTTTCCATTGTCGCAATGTTATTTTAATCAGATATATCTGAGTAAACTAAAAATGTAAAGTTAAATGTTTATTATTCAGTTGCGATGCATTCAGATGCTGTGATCCTGCTTCCCCAATTTTGTTATATTTTAGATACAAATGTTTCAGTGTCTAGATTTCAGAAGAAACAAGACAATAAGAGGGTAGACACCACCGAATAGTTTACCGTGCTGTCTCGTAGTACATCAGCCACATATTTTGCTCCATTATCTCCGATTGCATTATGCTCGATACTCAAGGTTGTCATCGTCTTTAGAAATACAGAAATAATTAACAGAAATAAATGCGAAACTATTTTACCAACCTGATTATTTTTCAATGCGTCCGCTAAATACTGTATTCCTTTGTCGCCAATATGATTACTGTTTAATCGTATTTCTTTCAGTGTCTATCCAAAAAACAAGTATGTACGTAAAACAGCATCGATGAGAGAAACGCTTTTACTTTGTTATGGCGTATTAAGTCAGCTATATGTTGTGCTCCTTCATCTCCAATATTAGTGTCCGACAGATTCAGTGTGAGAAGTGTCTGCAAAAAGAAATGAACACAGCTGCATACCAATTGGAGTTAGTCTGTATTTTGTCTTACAGCATTGTCTCGTAACGCGCCAGCAAGATGTTTTGCCCCTTGGTCTTCAATTTGATTCTGGAATAGACTGAGATATGTGAGCGTCTGAAAGTATAATTCGGTGCAACTGCCTAGGAAACAACAAGATGGAACTCATTTACAGTATTATGTCTTAATGCATCAGTAATAAGTAGTGTACTGTCAGCGTCAATTTGATTATTTTCAAGTTCGAGTGACTTAATGGTCTATGTAAAATACAATGTAATACAGTTGGATGGATGATGCGAATAAGCTGTTTGTACCTGGTTATATTGTAATGCTTGAATGAGGTACTGAGCACCTTTTCCTCCAATTTTATTACGCATAAGAGGTATAGACTTGAGTGTCTTTGTGTGAGAAATAGAAAGAGAATTTTGAACACGAAAAGGCTTTCGATTACTTTATTGAGCTGTAATGCTTTGGCTAAATATCTTGCTCCATTGTCTTCTATTTCGTTAAACTGTATAGATAATGTTGTCAATGTCTTTAAGAATAACATAGAAAGTCCTACAGAATATATGTGAAAACTCCGTTTCATCAACCTGATTATTTTTCAATGCATCTGCTAAATACTGTATTCCTTTGTCGCCAATATGATTACTGTTTAATCGTATTTCTTTCAGTGTCTATCCAAAAAAACAAGTATGTACGTAAAACAGCATAGAGGGGAGAGAAACGCTTTTACTTTGTGATAGCGTATTAAGTCAGCTATATGCTGCGCTCCTTCATCTCCAATATTATTATCAAATAGGCTCAATGTGAGAAGTGTCTACAAAAAATAATAAAATGATATTGTGTAAAGAGATATTTTCTTTTATAGAATTTCCTCCTAAACCTGCACTCATATGTTATACCTGTCTTCCTCACATTTGGTGTTTTGTGAAGATTGGCTACTGTGATTTCAGTGATGAAATAAAACGTTTTTAAGAGTTGAGCGTTTTTCTCACTGTGCATGAGAGAGAAACAAAATACGACATTTGCGCTCCTTTAGTTTAATTCTTTGTTAAGTCGTGTGTTTTGAATAAGGCAATAGTATCAAATTACCGATAATTGCCTCGATATAGTCGAAAAGAGCAACAAAATGGCCTGTCTAATAGTTTTCGTTTGCATTTTGCAGTCAACTACGACACATTGTGTTTGTATTATGGAACATAAGCTCTTCTTCATAAAAGAATAACTGAAACGTCTTCCGCATCAAATCATGCAACGTCGGAAGTTGTGATTTGATGCATCTGCAATCATTAAAAGGCTTATTGCAACAGATTAAATAGGAAAATTAACAAGGGTTTGTTTAGCAGATCTACGGGCAATGCCTTCATCTCCAATTAGCGTATGGACACCTATCGATGATGCTATTAAATGTTATTATTCAATTTCAAACTCAACTAGTCCATACGCCAAGTGGGACAGCTTCCACAGAAAAATTCATAAGCAGGTAGCTACTGGAGCAATATTTTTAGTGTCAATGTAAGCAATAGTTGAAAATAAATTGGCATGGCATGATGGAAGAGGTTGTTTTAAGGCTGCTGACTTCCGATTTGATTGAGATCACGATGAAAGATGTTATTCAGACAAGGATCAACTAATATATCTTTACACGGCGTTTTTAATGATGGGGTCAAGAATAAAACAGTTTTAAAGCGCTCTCCTAATCGATTTGGAAGATCCAAACTTCACGTACTTCTTTATCAATCTCAAACAACTGCAAAAAAATAAATCCGTTTTGTTCTCACTTATGTTAACTGAAAAGTTTTCAGTTTAGAAAATCTCAATAGTATTCCATCGGTAATATGAGCAATGATTTTCATACTTAAATTAGTCATTTTTTGGATAACTTGAATCAAAAAATTCTAGAATTTATTAGATACAATAGATGAAAATCGGCATCATCACAAATTCTTAGGAATGTATTCTATACTGTGTCAAGGATTGCAAAAATAAAGCTTTACCGGGTTATTTTGCAGAGCATAATAAACGACAATTTCCATGTCTCGGTCAGTCAATTGCTTTGATAGCAAATTCAACTCTGTACTACCTTTATTGTTTGCCATGATTTGCTCAAGTTCATGATTATGGTATTGCGGTTGTGATGTAGCCGGACCCGAGAGTTGTACTGATGACGGTTCGATATCTTTCGCTGGAATTTTTAGCTGCGATACTGTTGGGCTTACATTTGGTAATTTATGTATTACTTTTGGTGCTATTGAAGTAGGCACTAGAGTAAAGAAGTAGACAGCCCATTTAGATTGATGAATAAAAGTAAACCTACAAATTTATTCAATAAAAATTGATTAAGAAACTACCTATCGGTTTGTAGAGTAAGTGCCCCTGCATTATCTTGAAATATACAACATTATGGTTTACTTCCAGTAATTGAATAGAAGAACAAAAAAAAATAAAGTTGAAGTTACTTTTCAGGGAAATATCCACTCTGTATTGGTCTCATCATGTTATACTCTGTGTTTTCAAATGTTCCTCATATTCCTTCGTTTTAATTTTAGGACACGTTAAACTATTATCACCACAAGTTTCTTTTAATAGAGAATGATTTAAATCGAACAAGAACGAGTGCATCTACAAATAATAGTTATAATGCTCATAGACAAACGAAAAGTGATACGTGTATACAGCAGCCCATTGTAAACTTAAACCTGTCTCATGCAGCGTGATTTAATGGTATATACTAAAAGAGGAGTTCTAACCAATGTGGTTGATTGCATTTATTCTTCAAAGAAATACTTCCATCAGCCTTCATTTAATCTGGGATATGTCTAGAATACAAATTGAAATAAATCTGGGGGTCTAAATGTAATTGATGCTTAAATTTTATGTATTGGGAGATAAAACTGTCACTATCTGTAATTTTTGTCTAGTTATTTGAATCAAACTCATCTTTTAATTCTACCATTGTATGGATAATCGGCAGGATTTTACTAGGTGATCTTACTAGCAGATGATTCATCTTTCGAAACAGCAACTATCGGCAGGGGTTGTAGTAGCGCATGAGGTGGTTTTGTTTCTTTGAGTTGAATGACGTGAAGATCGCCTTGATCAAGACAACCAATAACTTTGAATTGAGTAGCAGCAAGTAAAAGTATTTCATCTTCCGATGGGAAAAAAGAATGATTACGAATGTCCTTGCCAGATTCGCATTCAATAGTAAACATTGTTCGTGTACCAGTTTTGCCCAAAAATTGTTCTGATTGTAAGACATTTATTGAAGTAGTGCACGATGAAAATCCCCACCATACAACTGTTTTACCTGTAATATATGATTTTTTTAAATTTAACTTGACACCTCGATAAATAGTCCTAGTAATTGATGGTAGACGAAAGATTCCATTTAGAAAGAGTCTTAAATAGAGCAGCCAGGGCTTTAATTTACGTCGATCGGATGATCGTAAAGTGTTATTCAACACGACATAGAGACATTCATCGAGTGGTTCCCATCCCATAGAATAAAGCATGATAGCAGCTGACTCATCTTGTGTGAGTCCATCAGCAGGTTCTTCGCATCTTTGTTTGGCAACATAAACAAAACTTTGGATATTTGGTAGAAAATGAATAAGTTCTTCAACAGCTATTTCGAGCGGAACAAGTGGCATTTTCTCGTAACCACATATCGGCAAAAGATACTGATGAGGCTCGTGAGCAACGTCTGTCATACGTCTAATGTGTTCCAGTAGACCATCTCCCCCTGCAATAGCCATGCTGATATGTAATCGATCGTTTTAAGTATAAAGAATGTTAAATTCTGAAAAGATAAATAAAAAATCACGTTTTCTTCTTGCTATTTCATTCTGATGAATCCACTGTTACAAGATTTTTGCCATCCCTTCAGAATAAATTACTGTAAATTGCTGCTCTGAAAATTCTGTCAATTTGTACTATTTTGACTTTTTGAAAGTTTAAACAACGTTTAGAAGTTCTGCTTACAGTTAAGTGAAAAACATCCAATCTTAAAATTTAGAACGCTGGGAACTAGGCTATAATAAATATTCAAGTTTTCGAATGAACAGCATACAGTATTTTGCGGCACATTGAAATATATCTGACTCATTTGAAACAGTTTATGTTCAGAAAAAATTTATACAATCAAGATCAACCGATCAAGTTTTACAAATCGGCATAAAGTCGATTGAATGAATAGATTTGTGTTTAGAGCCCTTAAATGATAAATAGTCAATGTACGGGCGCAAATCGTTGTTAATTTTATATATGTGATATTATAGACAAAATAAAAAGTGATTATAGTCCATGCAAAACATATTATATGGGCTGTACTTGAAAAAATATTCAAGTTGTAATTCAATTCCGTACTCAATTAGGAAATAAAACTGTAGGATGTAGTCTTGAAAATAAATCAGTTTCGAGAAGCAGACACATCATGATACTTACTCTCAACTTGCTCTGTTTTGTTTTATTGCGCAGTAAAATGAGGTGCGCAGGCATCTTTACCGCTCTTATCTGTAGTTGTTTGAAATGAAGAATTCCACGGTGACAGTTGTATTTTATTTGATAACTGCGTAAAACATGCCTTTATGAGTAGGAATGTTTTTTCGTCACAATAAAAGATTTCAAGATTTTTTTACATGAATACATATAACCGTAGGCGTGAAAATCTATCAATATGTAAAGAAGCTTTCAATGAAATCATATAATGTCTTTCTCACTGTTAGCCAAGCGTCTTTTCTTCATCAGAAACGATTTTGTTTTTATAGGCGTATCGTTTTATTTGACATAATAAAAAATGAAACCAATGTTCGACTAATATTTGTCACAGATTTTATTCAATATGATGAATATCAATGCAGAGAAAGCATTATAATTTTCACGGGGCTTGTAATGATACTTACAATCTTTATCATATAATCACCTAAAAAGGTGGAAAATATCTTAGTTTCAAATTATGTCCATACGAATTTAAGAAAAGAATTAGATATCTTTACTTAGTTAAAAGATCATTTGTAAATAAAAGAAACTTGATTATCATGCTGTAAAGACCTTAAGCGCTAATAGACATTATGTAGAAGTTTCATCGAATCTGGAATTGTAGAAAAATGCACCAGCTTATTTCATTGAAATCCAAGTAAATCAAAATGGAAGTTCGATAAAATGAAAGATGTGATTGTCTCAGATATGTTTTCTATCTCAACTAACAAAGGCTTCTAATTATATTATCAATCCTCGACTCATACAGTTTGCTGAGAATTGAGAGCGAAGAAAAAGTCGATATATCGTATACCCTTTTTCAGCAATGGTAAACTATGATAAATATTTCTGATTCAACTTCATCTTAACACTTTAGCCAGCGTCATCTGTTGATATATTGAATATATACCAAATCAAATACTATTCGATTAGTAAATCCTGATAGTGAATAATAGAAATTTACAATAGTTATGTTTTTAGAAAAGATCTCATTCATTTCTGAATTCGTATCGAAGAAGCCGGAAACTCTTAGAATAGTGAAAACGCCTTGTATCTGTCGATTTGTTCTCTCCTAAACATAGATTCCAAATATTATTTTCTGTTGATTTTTAGTATCGAATATTCATAATCAATACGTTATTCCATATTGACCCTGAAAAACGATGGGTCGAAGAAATCAAGGCCGTTTTAATTCAGGACGGAGACGTCGCCAAAGACGACCGAATAGACGTTGCAATTCATCATCAAGAAGTAATATGATGAATAACGTAAATTACGACGACGATTTAAATGATTCAAGTCGTTTGAACACTCCACATCAAAATTCATCAACAATAAATCGAAATTTTACAACATCAGTCGACCAATTCCTTAAAAATTTGAATGATCAAAATAACACATTGCCACAAGAACAACTCAGTCAAAAACAAAATAGAAAAAAGACACAGAACGCTTTTCTGTATGAAAAAGAATTAATTCATAAAAAGCAATCCTTACTACTGTTTTTACCAGAACAAACACAACGACTTGCAGTAACAAATCAGTTTCAAAATAAAGAAGGACAATTAAATTATTTGCTTGACGAATATTCACACGAAACTATTCCTCAAGAATGGAAACCAGCGAGTACTGAACTATCTATTGAAATTTATCAGCATGCTTTTACTACATGTGAAAAAAAACTTATTAATAATTGAGATGTTGTCTTGTCGTATAATTTAGCACCATTGTTTACTCAAATCTTATTTAGTTTGTTAATCTTTTCTTTCTGTAAAACACAAGTAAATTATTATCATTCAGTGATACTGAAAAAATTTTTGCTCTTAAAAATTATATTTTGTCTTGAATCAATGAAGGAGTGGGGAACCTCAACCATTGGTCGGGGTTTATGGACAAGCAAATCATAATAGCCGACTTTTGTTATCTAACATTCACAACATTGTACGACCGGCCGAGTTCACTGTGCACGACAGTCTGATATCGTTTCTACGTATAACTGATGAAATGATATGTCACTGGCTGTGAATATTATCTAGAATTATTTACGATATCAATATAAGATATAATGTATAACGTAACACTTACGCAAATGGAAACAATCAAGTATCGTCAAATTAGAAGATCTTTTTAAGCTAATGATTCGAGCTCAGCAATAAAACCATGCACAGCAGCATGTAACGTTGAAGAGTCGCGAATTTTCATTATAGTAGCAGTACCTATCATTAAACATGTGTGAATGTTTTGATCACTTGTTGTATTGCAACACACGTGATTTGCTTACGATAATGTCAGGACTTATCTAATGTCTTTTTTTTTAGATTTAAAACTAAATTTTTGTAACTATTGACTCAAGAAAATAAGACTGAAACTTTATGGATGAAGATTGAAATCGCTTAGCTTTTCTAATCTTAGCAGAGAAATTTTTGATTCTATCAATCAAAATCGTTTGAAATGTTTCAATGTCATTACTGTTTCATAATAAGTGTCTTATACGTTAAATTTTGATTTGAAAGAATCAATATCACATTCAAAACTCAAACCAATTCCATGATTGAACATTGAAAAAGAGCTTCCATTAATATAAATCAAATCGATGTATATATATATATATATATACCATTGGAAATCAGATTAGAATAACTAAGAATTCATTTCACCTTTGAGTAATTCGTTTTATTACAAAAATACATATTGTTTTACGACTATCGACTTCATTTCTTTATCGATATTTTCATTTTGATAAAAGTATAAGAAAAGGTGTCCGCATCTTCGTATCGACACAATTCTAGCCATTCAGCAAGTTTTAACTGAACATGCATATTTAAATATCTTAATTGAAGAGCAATGTTTTCAAATGACACTATTGGTATAAAGTGAATACCAGAAAAACATAAATATCAGCCAAAATGATTTTTTCAGTCAACATTCTTTCATTCTCAAACGAAATAAAGTGACAATCATATTCCATTGAGCTCGAACACGCGTAAATATTTTTTAGAATCACAATATAGTTGAAAGAACTTTTATATTATTTATTTTTTTGCAACTTATTTCCACTTTGCGTTCTTTCAATTAAAGTCAGCATGCATAAAAGAAATTTTACGAGGGAATGAAAACTTTGAATATCTTACAACACACACATAGCAAACATTAAGAATAAGAATAAGGAAAGAGAAACCATGGACATAGATAAACAAGATAATACAAATTTCAATATTTGCAAAAGAAAAATATTTTCGTTGTCTCATCGTCAATCGTGCCGTTTATGCGTGCTCTTCTTCTTCGCCTTCAACACCTTCACCTTCTTCTACAACAAACAATATACACACCCGTTAGATATGCAGAATTAAAAAACAAATAAATAAAACTAACCTTCGGCAGTTGCATCTTGATATTGCTGATATTCACTAACTAAATCATTCATATTTGATTCAGCTTCAGTAAATTCCTAGAAAACAAAACAATGGTCATCATCAAATAATAACAACATGTTAACTAACATACCATTTCATCCATGCCTTCACCTGTATACCAATGTAAGAAAGCCTTACGACGAAACATAGCAGTAAATTGTTCCGAAATACGTTTGAACAATTCTTGAATGGCTGTACTATTTCCAATGAATGTGGCGGCCATTTTAAGTCCACGTGGTGGAATATCACAAACAGCTGTTTTAACATTGTTTGGAATCCATTCGACGAAGTACGACGAATTCTTGTTTTGAACATTGAGCATTTGTTCGTCAACTTCTTTCATTGACATACGACCACGGAAAATAGCAGCAACTGTTAAATATCGACCATGTCTTGGATCACATGCAGCCATCATATTCTTAGAATCAAACATTTGTTGAGTGAGTTCAGGAACAGTCAATGCACGATAATTTTGTGATCCTCTTGCTGTTAAAGGAGCAAAACCAGGCATGAAAAAGTGTAAACGTGGAAATGGAACCATGTTTACAGCTAATTTACGTAAATCAGCATTCAATTGACCTAATAAAAATAGAATAAAATAAATATGAATCGATCGAAAGTATCAAGTTTATACCTGGAAATCGGAGACATGTAGTTACACCAGACATTGTAGCGCATACCAAGTGATTAAGATCGCCATAGGTTGGTGTTGTTAATTTCAATGTACGAAAGCAAATATCATACAAAGCTTCATTATCAATACAATACGTTTCATCAGTATTTTCGACAAGCTGATGAACTGAGAGTGTTGCATTGTAAGGTTCCACAACAGTATCTGATACTTTTGGCGATGGAACAACACTAAATGTCATCATAATACCTAAGAATAATTAAACATAGATTCTGTTTTTACTTAATCAAGAAAGATTTTTTATCGCTTACGATCAGGATATTCTTCACGAATTTTCGAGATGAGTAATGTACCCATACCAGATCCAGTGCCACCACCAAGTGAATGAGTCATTTGAAATCCTTGAAGACAATCGCAGGATTCTGCTTCTTTGCGAACAACATCCAACACTGAATCAACTAATTCAGCACCTTCGGTGTAATGACCTTTAGCCCAATTATTACCAGCACCTGATTGACCTGTAGAAAGACACGAAAAAAACAATCGTTGAGTTCTTATAGTAATTTGTTTTTGCTATTGTAATTACCAAAGACAAAGTTATCGGGTCGAAAAAGTTGACCGAATGGACCACTACGAACTGAATCCATAGTTCCTGGTTCAAGATCAACAAGCACAGCACGTGGAACATATTTGCCTCCTATGAAGTAAACGTATTTCAAGATATAATATTATTTTTAGTATGGTATATTCACCAGCCGCTTCATTGTAATATACATTGATACGTTCAAGTTGAAGATCAGAATCACCATGGTACGCACCTGTTGGATCAATACCATGTTCATCTGAAATAACTTCCCAAAACTAAAAACATAATCAAGATACACTTAAGATTTTCTTTCGAATTTTGTATCCTACTTTGGCACCAATTTGGTTACCGCATTGACCAGCTTGAATATGAACAATTTCACGCATTTTATGATAAAAATTTCTACACAAGAAGAGTAAAGCAAACTGTTACAAAAGATAATTAGAAAATAATCGTGTATTGGCTATAGCTGACGACGATGACGACGATGCAAACGAATATATTCAATATAGTAGTAAGCTGTCGGCTTAGTTAAATAAGAAAATAAAATTTAGAGAGAATAGGAGAAAATAAGAAAAGGAAAAAATGAAATGTTTCAGTTTGCCCTGGATGTTCTTTCTTCCTACTTAAACAGGCAAATGAACGTGGAGTTTTGTTGGTTATTGTAGAAAACACATTCATTCATTTATATATATAGATAATAATATATTGGAGGACTATAGCCCATATTCATGGATGAACTATATCGACTAGAGAAATATTTTGTATGTAGCTCATATCATTTTATAAAACGAGTAGTAAAGTAATATTAGATGTTAATCAGAGTGATTTTATCCAATTCGATGATTTACTTTATATTGAATGACGTAAACTCCAATGCTAACTGTTTTCTTTTCAGTCCATTGGGTATCTATCACATAGGTGAATATGAATTATTCAGAGGATCTTACTATTATTTGTTACCAGTAGATCAGTTTTATCTGTGTAAGAAATAGTATCTTTTCTGAAAGAAAAAAAAATGCGCACTATAGACTGTTGACTATAATATACTGCCGGAATACACTAGATACCCCATCTCTAAAGATGCAGCTGCATCAATGAGCTATTTACTTGAATCATGCTCTTCAATATAATTAGCTTACATCCACCAAACACATTCAATTCATTTTTCTGTTGA